GCTGGATTTCACCCCTGTGCCAGTCATTTAATGTCTTATTTTCAATATATATATAAACAATTCCAATGATTTCAAGGGAGACATCATATGATAACTAAGACAATCGCATTTTGAACAAGACATAATTATCTCTGGAGTCCTTGGTGCTCTCTGACTTGGTATTTGCTTGAGATGTTTATTACCAGACTAAGTAACATCATCAAGGCTAGAGAGTGTGGGTTTGCTCCCTGTTAATATATAGTAGTTTGTCCTGCCAGTGATGGGGGACTTTCTTCTTGGTAGTTCCCTGTTTAGACTATTGTTTTCTGTTAGATTGATTGTCTGGGGTTAATCCCTGCTTATCTGGGTGTTGGCTCCTGGGTTGGATGCATTATGGTCTTTTTTTCCTTCTTACCTTTTCTATTGTCTCTTTCGAATGGTGTGTAAATGTGGTTTGTATCTATGTATTTATTGATGGCTGATTTGTCTGAAGGCCAAACAAAATATTACACTGCATATTCATAATGTGTGTTTTACTGTATAAAATATGGAAATCCTCATGGCTGATGATTCTTACAATACTGTATTGAATGATGAGGTATGCATGCTGTTTTATTTATACTGTATGGTCATTTCTCACAAAACCTTCCAATTTAATTAAAAGCAATGAAGATATTTTTATACAGTAACAACTTTTCTTTCCAAGCAGATCTTACCTCTAAGACAAGTTGAAGGTCATCCATGTATTTTTCTTCTGTCTGGATCAGCTCATGTATATAACCCTGCTTCTTCCTTTCCATGGGTTGCATTGTGTCAAGGCTCTGGAGATCAGCACACCCTGTAAAATTAAGCATTCTTAATCATTTTGAGTTTATTTGTTCAATACCAAATAGGCAATGAAAATTCTCAGTGACTCTTTTAATGAGTAAAAAACCCAAAATTGACTCTGAAATAGGTTTAGTTTAGTTTAGTTTAGTTTGTTTATACTTATATGCCGCCCTTCTCCCAAAGGACTCAGGGTGGCTCACAAAGATAAAACAATAAAACAGTAAAATTACAACTAAAATACTCAATTAAAATCCCCAAAAATGAAAGTTAAAAGCTCCCATCAGATCAGCAAGGTTGTTGGAAAAGCCATGTCTTCAGGTCACCACAGAAAGAGAGGAGGTCGGGGGCCATCCGGAGGCCCATGGGTAAACCATTCCAGAGGGTCGGCGCGCCCACAGAGAATGCCCTCATCCTGGGCGCCATCACCCGACATTGTCTGGCCGATGGCACTCGGAGGAGGGCAGTCCTATGTGAGTGCACTGGGCGGTTGGAGGCAGGGAGAAGGTGATTCTGCAAGTACCCTGGGCCCATGCCATGAAGGGCTTTATAGGTAAGTACCAGCACCTTGAAGCGGATCCGAAGGACCACCGGTAACTAGTGCAGCTCACGCAGGAGAGGTGTAACATGGGAGTAACAGGAAGCCCCCGTAACAAACCGCGCGGCCGCATTCTGGACCTGTTGGAGCCTCTGGGTGCACCACAAGGGCAGCCCCATGTAGAGGGCATTGCAGTAATCCAAACGAGAGATGACAAGAGCATGGATGACTGTACGAAGGGCATCCCTGTCTAAGAAAGGGTGCAACTGGCACACCAGGTGAACCTGTGCAAAAGCCCCCCTTGTCACGGCTGTCAGATGGTCGACCAAGGACAGCCGCAAGTCCAGGAGGAAGCCTAGATTGCGAGCCGTTTCAGAAGGAGTAACTCCCCTCCCATCCGAAGTGATGGGGGTGCTAGACCATGAGATGCCGGTATCCACAGCCACTCCGTTTTGGAGGGGTTGAGTCTGAGCCTGTTCCTACCCATCCAGATCTGCACTGCCTCCAGGCACTTAGACATCACGGAAAGGGCATCCCTAGGTTGGTCCAGGGTGGAGATGTAAAGCTGGGTATCACTGGCATACTGATGATACCTCACCCCAAAACTACGAATGATCTCACCCAGCGGCTTCATATAAATGTTAAAGAGCAAGGGGGAGAGAACCGACCCTTGTGGCACCCTGCAAGTGAGGGGCCTCGGGGAGGATCTCTGTCCCCCCGCCCAAACAAACTGTGTGCGACCCGAGAGGTAGGAGAACCACTGTAGAACAGTGCCCCCTATCCCCAGCCCCCCGAGTCGCCGCAGAAGGATTCCATGATTGATGGTATCAAAAGCCACTGAGAGGTCAAGTAGGACCAGGATGGAGGAATAACCCCCATCCCAGGCCCGCCAGAGATCATTCACCAGGGTGACCAATGCCGTTTCCGTGCTGTGTCTGTGCCTGAAACCCGATTGGTACGGGTCTAGATAATCCGTTTCTTCCAGGAATTGTACACACACACACACACACACACACACACACACACACACTTCCTGATGTCTGCATGGTTCTCATCAAGGGTATAATTTCTAGTTCTCATAATTACTGTAGAAGTTATGAGTTTTGCTAAATTTATTTTATTGTCTGCTTCTGAGCTGTTCATGTTACATCACAATTTTATGTTTGTAGTATATTCTGCTCTATCCAACATCACTGATTTACAAACTGGGCACAAGTGGCTGACTCTTACTTCCCTTGGCCTGCAAAAGGTTTCTCTCTCCACCCAATTTTTTCCCCAAAAGTTTCTTTCAACTAAGGAAAAGAACAACTGGCACTCAATAATAAGAAAGAAGCACCATAATATATACAGCAAAGCCTTTGAAACTTTGGAGCATAGTGCACCTCTGATAAAATAAAAATGCTAGATAGTTTCAATCCAGGGATTTGGAAGTGTCCATCTGCCTCAAACCAAGTAAAATGTAAAAGCTGGATAGAAAATGTTCAGTAGATAAGAGAGGGTGTGGGAAACCAGTGTGTTGATTTAGATCCTGGAATGTAGGCATTTTGTGGCATGCCCAACGTGGCAAGTATTTGGGTAAGAGATAAGCTCTTCCTTTTATAAAAGTAATCCCAATATATTCTCGAAATGCCAAATATGTAAACGGGCCCCAAAAGTTTGCCTATCTATCTTCTTTTACTAGTACATTAAAATTATTCATAGATGTTATTCATGAATAATGCAGGTAATTATTTATTAAGAAAACCATTTACCAATACTGATATGTAAGCTAACTATCCTTATTGTCCTGCCAATTGGTGAAAAAAACATGATCATTCTCATATATGCCCTAAACTGAGAAGTATAATAAAGTTGGCAAGAGAACAGAAATGACTGGTTAGCATGTTATATAGAAAATATTCAAAATAACTCCAAACAAAAAACCTTGCACCATAAAAAATAATTTAAAGCAAAAAGATTATACTGATAGTTTTATATGAAGTTGTTCTCAGTAAACCATTTTCATTTACAAACCAGTTACCATAAATCATGAACAGCTGTCAGTAGAAATATTTTCTGAGAACGCATATGAATTTATCAGTAATTTTTTTGTTGCTCTCCTAGAGAATAAATTACTCCTCGAAGAAAATAATTCCAAATTCTAAGGCCCCCAGATTTCTCATGAGGTTTTAAATTTAAATTTGATTTAAGGTTTGAAGTTTCTTCTTTAAGAACATCCATTTAAGAACAGACTTCAGTATGCTCCTCTCAGATATAATACAAGCTCAATTGGCCTTTAATCATTTTAATCCTAAATACTGCTGAATCTCCATTATTCTACTGCTGTGAATTATTGTAGCCCTAACACAGAGAAGAAATGTAAACTGTATGTGGGGAAGCATATTTAAATAATGTTCAGCTTTAAGACAGTGGCAAATGTCCTGGATTCATGTGATTACCTTTTGTGACGTGCTGACAAGCAAAGTCAATGAGGAAGCCAGATTCACTTAATAACCTTAATAACTTAATAACTGCAGTGATTCACTTAACAAATGTGGCATGAAGTCATAAAATGTGGCAAAACTCACTTAACAAATTTCTCATTTAGCAACATAAATTGTAGCTCAATTGTGGTCGTAAGACGAGGAACACACACACACATACATGTATGTGTGTGTGTGTCTGTGTGTGATGAAAAATGCCAGCTTACATGGTTCTCCCCCACTTTTATATTCACAACAAAGCTATGAGAAATGCAGGTGAATTAGGGTCACAGTGAGCTTCATGGTAAAGCATAAATTCAAACCTACCCATTCTAAATCCAGGACAAAATGTAATGCTAATTTCTCTGAGAAATATAAAGGCAGAGATGATTTCCTAAGCTTTATTATTTTTTTTCCAAAATAAGCATAAAGACCTTTAAAACTGGTTTTTCTTTAACCATAGAATTCCACAATAGTCAGCATCATTAGCCACAGCATTAGACTCTCTGGTTGAGAATTATGGAATACCACTATCAATCCAATGACTAGAGAAATCTCTTTGTGAATTAGTAAATGGGTGGAAGGATGTGGGCATGTCCTTTTAACCTATGCCACTGGTCTCCCTAATAACATGATTAGTTGAGAAAGTAGCACTTATAAGTGAGGAATAAAACAATTTAAGGAGGAAACTGACAATCTATAGCACCTGCTAGGAAAGCAAAAATCAGCAATGCATACCGTGTTAAAAGACTTGGCTTTGCAGAGTTATATGTTTATATTATAAATTTAAAACTAGTCTTGATCTTGTTTAGAGATCAATTTTTACAAGTTTGATCCCAATTTAATAGTAATAACTTCCTTCTTACATTCTGGGAATTCTTTTTGATGAGAATTGAAAACCTGTGTTGAATGAACAGGTTTAAATTGATGTTAGAAATGACAACTTCTCCTCTATCATTTTTTAAAAAATTTGATTTATATGCCCCCCTTCTCCGGAGACTCAGGGCGGCTTACAATGTGTTATCATACACCAATTGATTAAAGTACGCTCTAGCTATGTGATCATCTTCCAGAAGATTTTAGTGATTGGTTGGTTATATAATGAAGGAACAACACAAATGCATAATTTATGAAAATGTATCATCAAACCTGAGAATGGTTATGTGTGCTGAAAAGAAATCACACATCAATAAGGATATTCTCTGTGTGTCTCTTTAATAAAATATTTTTGCATAGTTATTTCCAGTGTTCAAAAAACAATGTTCATGCACAGCATAGACTGTGTTTGCAAAACACTGATTATTATTCCATTACTTTAATACTAGAAAGCTTCAAAATACAAATATCAAAACAGCACACAGCATAGTGATATTTAGGAAACAAACATAATTAATGACAAGAAAGCAGCGTTTTGCGGTAGCAGCCCAAAACACCACTACAGCTGGAAGTCTGTCATCACTGATTGACTTTAATAGAAAAATAATACAAGTCATAGGACATATTTTAGCAAATACTGGTTTGTGCGTTTCTGGCAAATCACACTGGGTAGTACAATTAATTTGTAAAAATAAAAATCAAGAACTCTAACTTTTACATTCTTTTTGCAAACAGAAAAAATAGCATTGTCACAGCTATTTCATACTCCATTCAAAATGTCAAGAAATCACAAACTAAAAACTTTAAGAAAGCTGAATATTAATTTCTAAGTTAGGAAATCCCTCATTCCTATTTGGAGAACTTTAGTTCCATTTCTGGAATGGGGACAAATAACATGTTGTAGCAAATTGCCTCATATGCTATAATACTGTTATCTATTTTTGATCATATTAAAAAACCTTAGCCATCCAAATGAAGAAAAATAAAGCTATTCATATCTAAAGCTAAAGAACATAATTTATACAGCCATCTTTGAATGCGTAAAAACTTGGATTCAACTATCATAACAGTCTCCTTTTTATTTTGAAAATCCATGTGACAAAGAAAACTATTTTGTAACTTTTGTAAATTGGGATATTGAAATTAGGAGAAGAAAATTTCCCCTATTCTATGTAAATTTTGTTTTGGGTAAGTTTCTCAAAATCCTAATTTGGAACCCTACTCAAATAATTTGTTGCATAATATATTTTTTAAACTACTCCTTTCTGAAATTTTAGCAAGTATAACTCACTATAACCATACACAAATTTTATGCACGTTTCTGAATTATTATTTAGTTATGCCATTATCTGTTTGGGCCTAGCTTTTTTAACATATTAATATACTAGAAATAAAATTATAAATACAGAAATGAATTCTCAGCAAAATAGAATACTAATAAATAATAGCAAAATAGCCTAAGCATATCAAACATTCTTATTAATGTCAATTAATAGTTTGTACCTCTTTTGAGCTATATTGTACCTCTTGCATTAAAATATGTTTTATCTCTGAAGATTTTTAACTTATAGACTGACAAAAACATCTTTTTTTAAACTCACCCTACTGGTACAGTAACCATTTGTTCATTCTAACAGTAATAATTAGTGCTAAATTAAGTCCACCACACCAAAGCAAACACCCATTACTCTTTTACTATGAAATCAACCAGACATTATTTGAACTCTAAAATATGGTTAAATTCATTTCTGCAACCGATAAGCCAAGGATGAACAACTTGCAGTCCCCAGTACCCTGAGATTACAGGAAATCCTCACAATAGTTCATTTAGTGACCATTTGAATTTAAAATAACAGTGAAAAAGTGATTTATGATAATTTTTCACATTTGCGACTGTTGCAGCATACCCATGGTCACCTGATCAAAATTTAGACGTTTGGCAACTGACTCATATTTATGATGGTTGTAGTGTCCGAGGGTCACCTTTTACGACTTTCTGACAAACCAAGTCAATGGGGAAGCCAGATTCACTTAACAACTGTGTTACTAACTTAACAACTCTGGCAAAAAAGGTCATAAAATGGGGCAAAACTCAATCAACAACCATTTCACTTAGCAAAAGAAATTTTGGGTCAAATTGTGGTCGTAAATTGAGGACTACTTGTATCAAACTGAAATTTAATAGCAAAATACTTGATGTCCAGCAGCACAATTTCTATTCCCACCCCCCTTCCCATAAACTCAGAAAGCACAATGCTTCCATTTCTGCCATTAAAACTCCTCAGGCCTCAGAAACAGCCTGAAATTGTACCAAGTTTAGCTTTAGGTTAAAAACTTTTTAAAGGTAGAAACGAGCAATAAACCCCTCAGAGGCTTTTTGCTCACATTCTCATCCTTAAAAACCCACGCAACCAATCAACAACCAAAACTACAAAAATTTTCAGTTCCTGTATTTATTGGCAGAGAGGTCATGCCTAGAAGCAAGGAGAAATTTTCTGACAGTGAGAACAATTAAACAATGGAATAACTTGCTTTCTGGGGTTGTGGATGTTCTATCATTGGAAGTTTTCAGAAATAGACTGGACAACTCTTTGATCAGTATGGTATAACCATTTGAGCAGGGATCTGTCAGGGCTCTTTTAGGCATATGATTCCATGTTCTATGATTTTGGGAGTTCTTACACAGCATAAACCTGAGGTCTACCAGGAGAATGATATACTTCATTTTGTTGCTTTTGTTGCTATTTTGGTAAACTCAAAGAGGTGACTAAACACTCGTCTTGCCACTATAAATGGCTGGTGAACTATAGCTTGGCAAGAATTAATTTACAGAATTTAAGATTTGGTTTTAATTTGGGATTTAGTTGCTATATCTCCTGTAAGAGATCTTCTAATTGGCAGCTGCTAAACTACAACTGTGCTTTGCAAGACAAGACCATCATGTACCTTGATTAACGTATTAGGTCATGATAAATATTAGTATGGGATAATCATCAATTTAACATTGAGCTATTTGCAGATCTGCTATTGTTAATAATAATATAGAGACAAGATAGCATTTATTTATTTATAACTTGATTTAGGCACCTAACTGATCAATTTGGCATGAAAGACCCTCCTCCTACAATCCATTACTTCGTACTAGTAATAAAGGCATCAGTGATTTGATAAGCCTGCTATATTCATTTAAATAGCAATTCTGAACACATTTATCAGAGACTAAGCACCATTGAACACAATAGCTTATTTCGGACTAAATATGCACAGGCTGCACTGTGAGGCAATGGCGCTAAAAATACTTTGTAGAAAATAAATCACTCATTAAAGAATTTTAGGATTACACCCTTAGAATATTGAAAAAAAAATGGATATGCACTCCAAATTAAATATCTAATGTTGTACAGAAGAAATGGGGAACTTCTTTCAATCAGAGTACTGAACTAATTTTCATACTGGTATCTGTAAACCAACAGGATGGGAGTTGGGTCACTCCACACAGCCCCAAATCCCACCTAATTTATGCTCACATGCAAATACACCTCCTGAAAACAGGGCAGATAATTCTGACAGCAACACAGCACAACTATCCAAGACGTCTAGAACAGTTTAGCAGGCAGGACAAGGCTACCTTTACAAATGGATATGGACTACATCAGGGAAGGAAAAAAGCTTGATTGTCTGGCCAAAAAGGCACCATGAAGTGAGGTGATAATGGTGAATGTTAGAAAATGTTAGCAAGAATGAAAAAAGAAATTAACCCAAAACTTTGGTTAAAAGTAAAAAATTGTTAACTAAGAAATTCCCAGAAAGCAATGCAGTAGTAAAAAAAATCTAAATTGCTGGGAATTTTAAAAAGTGCTTTAGTTTTTTAAAAAATGTATCTGTTAAAAATGGGGCAGGGGAGGGCAACTGTAGAGTCTATTTAGCTTCTTGGTCTCTTCAATATCATGTTGGTAGCAAATACCCTGTTTCTCCCAAAATAAGACATCCCCTGATAATAAGCTCAATCGGGCTTTTGAGCGCATGGCAATAAGGCCAAGCGCTTATTTCAGGGTTCAAAAAAATATAAGACAGGGTTTTATTTTCGGGGAAACACGGTATCTAATTTTCAGTGGTATTTTTTTGTACTTTTTCTTAAAAATAAACCTAAAACATATATTTAATTTGCATTTAAAATCCAAATAATGGGGGAGGGGAGCCAAAAATGTCAGTCTTGCCCACTACATTATGACCGGTATTATCCTGTCATAATATAGTGTTCTTTTGAGGTTTTTTTCTAACCTTAGGCACAAACAACTAGAATGCAATATCATGCTATTTCTAAATATCTTAAGGTATGTGGTCTCCAAAAGGCTTCTTTTCATTTTGATAGACCCACAATACCCACAGTACCATGTCTTGCTCCTCTCTTGCAACAAGCTCATTTCCCTCACAACCAGGATCTGAAATGCTCTTGGAAGGCTGATAATGCCAGGAGCATTGAGATATTTCCCTTAAGTCTTCCACAGTTGAAAAGGTTCTTTTTGCTGCTCCACCAATCCCACAACCACCCGAATGGACCAATGAGGACCAATGAGAGGGAAGGGAGGGTGGGCAGAAGGGAGAAGCACCTTTAAGTGTTACAGTATTAGGAATTTAAGAAACAAAGGCTTCTCAGACTTTCAGCAAGGCTCTAAAAAAAGTTTTTCTCAAAAACAAACTTTGTCCAGCTTTCAAAAAAATTGTTACTCTCTCCTTTAACATACCAAGAAGTGTGTAGTATTTAGGGCAGAATCTTTCCAACTTCTGTAGCAAAAGCCACCTTATATATTTGTTTCAGGTGAAACTAAAGAGCTCTAGTATATAACATATATAGACATAACAGTGATATAAAGTGCCTTTAAAACAACACAACAGATTTTATTCTATCTCTGCTCTGTTTTCTCACAATAGCATTGTCACCGTGTACAGGATCATACATGAAATGCATAGTGAGAGATCAACATAGGAAACATATGATGCTAATCATGAGAACACAATTTCCCATGTGACAGTACAAATAGTAGGTCTTTGTGTGCCTAAAGTTGCATTATGCCAAGAGATAGCTTGGACTAGCATTCTAATAATTCATTATTGTTCCTAAATAAAGAGTAGAGAAAATCAGATTGGAGAGTGCAGAAAGCCACACAAAGACCCACTAGTCAGTTTGGATAAATGAATTGTAATTGTACAGCATAGAACAAAACGTGAAGTCTTGAGTGGATTTAATACTGAAGCGAAGCAAAGAAATCGTTTCAGAGATCTGAGCAGGCTGTCCACCCTGCCGCCATGCTATAGTCAAACTTGTATAGTGGGTCTCTGAGGTGCTTTCATACTGGAAGACAACAGTGGGTCCTTGAAAAAGAAAAGAAAAGAAAATTAGGGATAAATGACTATAGTAGAATATGTTGAAATGTATAAGAAGCAGTACTGTCTTAATAACCAATATTGTAAAGACAGAATTAATATGTTTTTAAATATTTCTTATAATTTAAAACTATCTGGAAACAGAACACTCTGTGTTTAAAACTGCCAAATGCTGTAACAGTTCATTTTAAAAATTAAATTAACGTAAGGGAAAATAAAATCAAGCAGCAAGGTAATTTCTTAGAATATTCACTGAGCTTGTGATAGGTAAATTTTAAAGTTTTAATATTTACACCTGATCTTAATCAAAAAGCTCAGAAGCAATGATTATTTGTCAATCCTTCTATCCCACCAGGACTGATGTATCTTCCCAGATTGCCTGATTCTGTCCCTCTATTTGTTTTATTCATCCCATCTACAACTGAACATTTGTATTAATTTTGGTGATCCTGACTATAGCCTGCATTATAATTATAGTGTTATCATTGTATTTTACGCTTTTTATGTTTCTATGTGGTGATTTCTGGCATAAAGGCATAATAAAGGCTTGTTTGTATGGATTTAAATGCTATTTAAATTCAAAATCTGGGTTATAGATGTTTGAATTACATAGTACCACTTATCAAGAGCATGAAATCAAATTAAACAATTATCAACAGACATTGCCATATTCATCTATTTTTGTGGGCCAATGACTTCAACACTTATTTCAAGAGATAAAATGGGCATCAAAATGACTTAATGAACATTGGTAAAGGTAAAAATGGCGTTTAACCCCTCATGACTGCATGTCCATGTAATTTCCAGAGTAACAGTTTTTAAAAAAACGTTTCTTCAGTTTCCCCACCAGCTTGCAAGTACAATACTAATCTTATCTGATTAGATGGTACCATTTGTTGCTGAGAAGCCATTTATTTATTTTATTTATTTTGTCGCATTTCTATGCCGCCCAACTCCCAAGGGACTCTGGGCGGCTTACAACAAAGAATAAAATAATGCGAACAATCTCATAAAAAATGTTAAAAAGAAAAACATTAAAAACTTTAAAAACGTTAAAACACATGCACTCCTATTCGTGGCCGGGTCTCGCAAGATCATTCTCAACTTCACTGTGCAAGACACAATCAAAACACAGCAGCACCCCTTTCAGCTCCTTTTGGCACGCTGGTTTATTTGCGTCCGGGGACGGCTACACGCTGTGACTCGAAAAGACGAATGAAATCGGCGCTACAATGTACTAGAAACGGGCGTTTATATAGCCCTCCCTTCTTATTAACCATTTTTAAACCGCGCCCCTGCTTATCACCACACCCATGTTAGCGGGTAAGTGTCCTCAGCTGGTTCTCAAAGGTGCTGGTTCTCGAAGGTGCTGGTTGCAGCGTCATCTGGAGATGTCCTAAGCCCGTCGCACCGATACCACCTCCCCTCGCCCCGCATACGGCCACCTGCACCCAGTGCCACCACCACCAAGTATGTATATGTCCCTCGATGTTTTCAACACACGTTAGCGGTGTTGAGCAGGTTGCTAGGCTCAACAATCATTATAACGAGATCAACGGCCCCAGGCCTGCCAGAAGAGCCAGGTCTTCACCGCTTTGCGGAAGGCCAATAGGGTGGGGGCGGTCCGGACCTCAGGAGGTAATTGGTTCCAGAGAGCCGGGGCAGCCACAGAGAAGGCCCTCCCCAACAGGCCCGCCAGCCGACATTGTTTAGACGGGACCCGGAGGAGACCAACTCTGTGGGATCTTACCAGTCGCTGAGAGCTATGTGGTAGAAGACAGTCTCGAAGATAGCCTGGCCCTGAGCCATATAGGGCTTTAAAGGTAATGACCAACACCTTGATTGCACTCAGAGACCAATAGGGAGCCAGTGCTGTTCGCGGAGAATTGGTGTAATGTGGGTGTATCTAAGCGCACCCACTATAACTCGCGCGGCTGCATTCTGGACCAACTGTAGTCTCCGAACACTTTTCAGGGGTAGCCCCATGTAGAGCGTGTTGCAATAATCCAACCGTGAGGTGACAAGGGCATGAGTGACTGTGAGGAGAGCCTCCTGATCCAAGTAGGGTCACAATTAGTGCACCAGACCACCTGTGCAAAGGTCCCCCTAGCTACAGCTGTCAGATGTTGTTCCAGTCTCAGTTGTGAGTCTAGAAGAACACCCAAATTGCGAGCCCGTTCTGAGGGGGGCACTTTCTCACCCCCCAGAACCAAGGATGGACAATCGACATAGTCTTTAGGGGGCAATACCCAGAGCCATTCGGTCTTGTCTGGGTTAAGTCTGAGCCTGTTGACTCCCATCCAGATCCTCACAGCCTCCAGGCACCGGCACATCACATCTACTGCCTCACTGAATTGATGAGGGGTGGAGATATACAGCTGGGTATCATCAGCATATTGCTGATATCCCACCCCGTGTCGTCAGATGATTTCACCCAGTGGTTTCATGTAGATGTTAAATAGGAGGGGAGAAAGGACCAAGCCCTGAGGCACCCCACAAACGAGGGGCCTAGGGGTTGACCCCTGTCCTCCTACCAGCACTGACTGTGATCGACCAGAGAGATAGGAGGCGAACCACTGCAACACGGTACCTCCCACTCCTAGCTCCCTTAGTCGCTCCAGAAGGATACCATGGTCAATGGTATCGAAAGCCACTGAGAGGTCAAGTAGCACCAAGATAGAGGAATGACCCCTGTCTCGGGCTCACCAGAAATCATCCATCAGTGTGACCAAGGCAGTTTCCGTGCTATAGCCAGGTCTGAAACCAGACTGAAAAGAGTCCAGATAATCCGTTTCATCCAAGGACCGCAGGAGCTGAAGTGCCACCACCTTCTCTACAACCTTTCCACAAAGGGTAGGTTGGAGACTGGACAAAAGTTTTTTAATTCTACTGGGTCCAGGGAAGGCTTCTTGAGGAGGAGTCTTATAACCGCTTTCTTTAAGGGCTGCGGGAAGGACCCCGCCCTCAAGGACGTGTTGACTAAAGCCTGGAGCCAGCCTCGTGTCATCTCCCTGCTGGCCGAAACCAGCCAGGAGGGGCACGGGTCCAACAAACAAGTGGAGGAACTCATCGCCCCTACAGCCTTGTCCACTTCCTCAGGTGTCACTGGCTCAAACTCCTCCCACACAATAGGACTAAAACCTGCCCCTGTCATCTCGGTCGGTATTGCCCAATCAGAGTCCAGGTCCATCCGAATCTGAGTGATTTTATCCGATAGAAACTGTACAAATTCCTCAGCTCTACCCTGCAAGAGTTCTTCCGTTCCCCCAACCTTAAGGAGGGAACGAGTTACCCTAAATAGGGCGGTTGGGCGAGAATCAGCGGATGCAATAAATGCGGAAAAATGTGAACATTTTGCCACCCGTATCACCACTAAATAAGTCCTAACAAAGGCTCTTAAAAGTGTTCGGTTGGATTCGGATTTACTGGTCCTTTAGCATCGCTCTAGACGTCTCTTCTGGCGCTTCATCTTCCGGAGTGCCTCAGTAAACCAGGGAGCTTTCCTGGATCTGCTGCCATTGATAGGCCGCAAAGGCTCAATCCGGTCCAATGCCCCAGACGCCGTCTTATGCCAGGCAGCCACTAGGGTCTCAGCCGGACTGTAGACAACGGAGTCAGGTATCTCCCCAGGCTCCTTCTGAAACCCCTCAGGGTCCATTAGGCGTCTGGGGTGGAACCATTTAATCGGCTCCACCTCCCTGCGATGGAGGAGTGGCGTTTTAAAGTCCAGCCTCAACAGGAAATGGTCTGACCACGAAAAGGGTGAGACCTCTATACCCCTTAATTACAGATCATATCTCCACTGCCCAGAGAGAAATACCAGTCGGGTTTGTGTCCCCCTTCATGACCCTGAACTATTTGGGTCAGGTCCATGGTTGTCATGGAAGCCATGAATTCCTGAGCCCCATCTGAGGATTCGCCATGTAACGGTAGGTTGAAGTCCCCCAGTACCATAAGCCTGGGGAACTCCACCACCAACCCAGCTACTGCCTCTAGCAGCACAGGCAGGGCTGTTGTCACGCAGCTGTGAGGCAGGTATGTCAACAACAAATCCAACTGAACCCTTGAGTACAACCTCAAGAGGAGAGACTCACATCCAACAATCTCTGGGGCAGGAATCCTGCGAGGACAAAGGCTCACATAATTAAGATATGTGCTATATTACAACATCCATCAAATTTGGGAGATAAGACAGATTCCAGGAAGACATTTTGGCATCTCATTATTAAATTAAGGGATTTTTTTTCACTGGCACAACCTTTTATAAAGTAGAATGAACAGACCTAAAAATAGCAGCATTTTGTTTCCTTATGGTGCTATGTCCAGATTTTATTTAATGAGCTATAGTGGATAAAATGAAGTATAATGTTCATATTATATACAGAACGGAAGACAAACTACACTTTTTTTTTTTTTTTAATTTGATTTATATGCCGCCCTTCTCCGGAGACTCAGGGCGGCTTACAATGTGCTCAGCAATAGCCTTCATACTTTTGTATATTTATACAAAGTCAGCTTATTGCCCCCACAAACTGGGTCCTCATTTAACCTACCTTAGAAAGGATGGAAGGCTGAGTCGACCTTGAGCCTTGGAGAGATTTGAACCAGCAGTAAATTGCAGGCAGCTGTGTTAATAACAGGGTGCTTTAAACCACTGTAGTACCAAGGCTCTTTTATACACTTATTAAAGATGTATATGCATATGTATATTATGTGTATGTGTGTGTATTTATAGGCATCCAATTCATGTCAGCACTCAGACCTTTGCTGCATTAAATATGCTACCAACTCTTTTCATGTTCATACCAGAATATGGAGAGAGGGGGAAAATAGGGTTACAAACTCAGTGTACCTGGAGGGTGGGGTAGAGCACTGAAATCTTTGCTAGAGTAACTACATATTTCTAAGAAACAGGTTTTCATTTTGAAATAACTATGATGCCAACACTGAAGTTCATACAAGCCAAATTATTAGGGTAGAATATAAGTAATTATTAACTTTGCATAATATATACAAACCAGAGACATTTTGTTTACAGCAACTTCCTTCTTGGTATATGCATAAAAAACAAACCAAAAACCCAGTATTATGATATGGGAACGACTTTTCTTATCTAGAAACTGTCCCTATATAGACAAATGATATGTTTGCAATTGCTCTAAAGGATAACAATCTGGTCTATCCACAAATATGAGACTGGCCTTCTAGAGAAAGATTAAAAATGCCAGAAAACCTTATCTTGCTATTTTCCCAACATAAAACACTGGCTTATCCAATTACTATGGTGCAGCCCAATTTGTTAAGCATGTTAAATCTAAAAGTATGAACTAAATTGTTTACTGTGTTAAAAGCCAGATAAATCATTCTAATCATATAGGAAATAATCCATATTTCATATCAAGGAAATATTTCAATTAGGCCAAATCACAATTGCAAAACAGAAAGCAAGCATTCATGTTTTATTGATCAAATGGTAAACAAAGCAAAAGTCAGAGGGAAGATACAAAACAGTGAATGCTGAAGCCAACACTATTCCAGTTATTCACAAGCTGAGACATAATTCTACCAGGCACTTTAATTATATTATGCTACATGTGGAATTATACCTAGAACAATTCTTGATCTCCCATTTTTTAAAAAAAACAAAAGATAAAATCCTGCTTCAAAACTATCTCCATCTCTTGGCAAAACATAGATCTCTTAATAATTGGAAACCAGAATAATGAAAAGTTGGTAACCTCTGTATTAATAAGACTGATGTCAAGAAATATTATGTAAACAACGGAGCTGTATACTCTGAAGTCAGAGCTTTAGCTTCAGTACAGAGATAACTCAAAATAACCTCACTTTGATTCTCTTTGATACTAAGTGGGCAGAGAGAAACTTTGACAAGTTTTCAGGATTGTTATTTTTTTGTTCAGTCTGGTATAGTGGTTAAGGCACCAGGTTAGAAACCAGGAGACTATGAGTTTTATTTCCGCCTTAGGCATGAAGTCAGTAGCTGACCTTAGGCCAGACACACTCCTTCAGCCCTAGGAAGCAGGTTCGTGCAAACATTGCCAAAACATCAAGAAAACTGCAGTAAAGTTGCCAGGAAACAAAAAGCTAACTTGATGGCACAAAAAACCAAGCCTACAACAATAAGGTAGCATGCCTGGAATCCTTGTAGGGTCTGTTTTCTGACTTGGTCTATCTCAAAGATCTGACATATTAGATCTGTGAGGTTGGAAGTTATGAAGCCTATATTGTAAAACTTCTTTGATGCTTTCTTTTTAAAAAAGGAAAGAAGGCAATAATCTATATTTAACTCTATTGAGGAAAATTGGACTAGGATATATTATTTTATCTGTGCAGTATGCCCATTTGATTATGTTATTTATATTGTTATTTTGATTTTATTATATTGTTTGTAGAAGTTATGAATCACTGAGAATTTTTTTGACTGTACCAGATATAAATTAAATTAATCTATTGCTCTTATTCAAATAGCTCACTACTCACTATCACTACTATGTTATGTTGAAGAGTTCAACATAACATAATTGGAAGCAGGTGGTAAAAATTTGATGGATACTTAATTGAGCTTTCCAAACAATTTCCTTAAAAACTATTGCCATGTTTAAAAAGGTACAAGGTCCACAGCAATGTATCTCAGTGACTAAACTATTTTAGTCATTATTTTAGCCCTGCAGTTCTAAATAACTCAGCATTTTCCTGTTGAAGAAATGGACATGACCATACAAATGAACACCTATATTGAATGAGGTATCTGAATTTATTCCATACCAAAGCATGAATACTTAAGCAAATTTTACTTACACTGTTGACTTGGATCAGAGTCTACAGTCATCTTCACATAGTTTGAAGGAAAGAGGCCATAAACGCCACTGACTTCCCCTTGCCACCAATCCATATCTTCTTTGTTCATTACATTTATAAGCTGCCCCTTAGAAAAAGTGAGCTCATCTTCATTGTTTGCTGTGTAGTCATACATTGCTATCACTTGACACACTAATAGAAACAAAAAATATGACAAAGGACATGTTCTTCAGGAGCACCAGCAATAACTATTTCACTACTTGAAAAAATCCCCATCCTTGCCTAGAAATTTACAAAACTATTTAAATTAGTGCATATTAAATATTTACATTTTATAATCAAAAATATCATGGAAGTATAGGAATGTAAAAAACAAAACAAAACCCAATTGCAATAAGGTAAAGAGTGTCTGCTTTCTGAAAGTAAAGGGTCGGCAAAAAATGTTTACTAATAGACTTTCAATTTTCAAATAACAGCAATTGCCGTCATAATTTGTGAAGGTAAGCTTTGCCAATTATAAATTGCTAAAATTGCCCACTTATTTATCACTTGTCTTAATAAATAGTACAAATGCTTAGGACATTAATGTGGAAAAAATAATGCCAGTTTTTTTCCAATTAATTCTAAAAGAAAATAAATTCTTTTATTTAAATAAATGTGATTAAATTTAGAAACTTAATTTATTTTCCTAAATTTACTTGCTTATTTATATACTGTCTCCTCCAAAGATTCTATTATATTAATTATAATAAATCCAATAAGTGTATGTCCCACATTCTGATGCAACTAAATTCAAACATGTAAAAATAGAACACATTCTTCCTAGTCTAATCCTGTCTTTATTTTCCTTTACTTTCATTCTCATATTATAGACTGCCTCTCAGAATAAAGATTTGTTTTTTTCTTCTTCATAAAGTACAAAGCCCAAAGCTTTATAAAATTCAAATATTTTGACTATAATGCATAAACAAGTATGCATTATATGATTTTGTTGTTACTCTACATATCAATGATTTTATGTAAAATCTGAAGAGAAACACACACATATTGGGAAGGAAAGTCTAAGAAATCAAAGAAATAATTAAATTAACACAATAAATAACTACATTGAGTATCAAGAACAAAATATAACCACAAACAAAAGAATAAAAATGAAAATAATACTGTTATATGGCTACCACCTAAAACTATGAGAATCTGTAGTTCATTGAATATATCAAAATTGTGTGGATTCCCACATGAATTTAAGTCATAAACTATAGGTTACAAATTACAACGGATGAAGTCACACAGTATGCTAAGATAAAAAAAACAACACTTTGGTTTTACCATAAAGTATGAACTCGGCCACCAATCAGAAACAAGCTTTAATTGCTCACCTGGATGAACAGCTGGCGTACTCTTTTCATTGCTGGGACCCAACAGTTTCACATGAGTAGCAGGAAACCATCCTTTTTGTCTTTTTTTTCCTCTTGCCTAAAAAACACAATAGGCAATCCAAAATCTAATGTCCTTTTACTTGCACACTTTTACCTCTGCTCAGATTGGCAGAGAGTCAGTACCTCATGTTTTCTTGCTCTGCCCTCTGTACGAACCACAGTCTCAGATTTAATACCTTCATTATTAATACATTTTGGGACAGCTGGATTAAGAAAATGTGCTCTATTTCTACTTGTGAATTCATAAGGAGGAAGAATGCAACATTCCTCTCAACAGCAGATGATGCAAGAGGGATACAGATCTAGTTTTTGGTAGATAAGTGCTTGATATGTCTACTTGCTTATTCCTTCTTATTTTCAATTAAATTTAACTACCGTATTTTTCGGAGTATGATGCTCTGGACTATAAGACACACCTACTTTTTTTGGTGAGGAAAACAAGAAAAAGAAATCTGCCTTTGCCTCTGAGCAATTTTACCTCGTTACAGCAAATAGCCTGCTTTACTTTCATTTTCGTTTTCAGCATAGCTTGATTAGCACAAGAAAGCTGAAAGAAGCTGTTTCTTCTTGCTGCAAGGAGGTAAACTGCTGCGAGGCAGAGGCCAAAGGGTGGGGGCCAGTGGGTGGGCGGGGCTACATTCGGTGTATAAGACGCATCTAAATTATCACCCCCTTTTAGGGGGGAAAAAGGTGCATCTTATACTCTGAAAAATACGATACTATATATTGCTTTTGATTTCAATAATCAATTAATCAAGCAAGCAACCAACCAACCAATGAGGTCTCCTTTTTTCATAGATTTTTTTCTTTTTGAAATGCAGTTTTGCTCAAAATATTTTTTTTAGCAACAAGTATTTTTACAGACATAATTTGCTCATCTAGATAAGAAACATCATATCCAGTCAGAGGAACCTCCTGTTCTGTTACCTGTAGTTCTCCCTGCCACCATCCACTAGAATTTTTCTTCAAAATTAGAATCAGCTGTCCAGGAGCAAGACTCAGCTGTTCCGTTCCTGATGCAGTGTAGGCTGTTGTAACTTGAGCAATTTCTAAAGAGAAATATGTATCAGTGTAAAATGAATGATTATAATATATAAGAACACAAAAATACCAGTAATACTCACCAGGTTTTTTATTTAATGTTCCTGTTTTGCTAGCTGTAGGAGAAATCTACAAGAAAGAACAAACAATTGGGAGCCTAAGTTTAATTTCATCTCTCCCCGTTTTATTCCAAGCCAAGTACCCATTTTTGAAGCATAACACAACCTAGAAAATCTAAAATCAATCCTTTCTGCAACAAATTCTGCCTCCTCCCATCATCCCTGCCTTTTATTCCCTGGCCACAAGTGCCATCAGAATGGGCAATATTTATTCTCTGAGTCAAAGCTGAATTATTTCCTATTACATTTCCTTGGGCTTGTACCAGTATCCCTGCAACAGTCTCAGTTTTCATCTTGAATTCCTGCATCTCTAACTGGAAAAAAAAAAATCCTAAAAGGAGAACACTTTGGAAATCTTACATCATGATCCTTTGGTTTGACATAGTTTGAAGGAAAGATTCCACTTCTATCACCAATTCTTCCAGTCCACCATTCCCCATCTTTCTGACTCACTATTATTTCTTCACCTTCAGTGAAAGTTAAATCACCAGGCTCAGAACTTGAATAAGGATATAGTGCTATATATTCTGAAAAGGTAGAGAAAAATTAAGTCATGTAGTAAAGCTGTATATGACTAAAGATTGTAAAACAGTTATTCATATAATCCTTTCTACTTCAAAATCCTTAACTAATGCTTAGGTAACATCAGGCAACAAAGGAAATTATAGATATCTTTTTTAATGACAGAAAAATTCAAAGTCAAAATGTATTGCTGCAATAGTTTAATCACACATGAACATATTCCTCTCACATTCAGACATCTTACACCATTCATTGGCAGTGTGTAGTGTCCTTTCATGTATCTGGGTCTAGCATGGCAGACAATGGCTTAGGACCTGGGTACTTACGAGATCGCCTTCTGCCACCGATAGCCTCCCACCGGCCAATACGCTCCCACAGAGAGGGACTCCTCAGGGTGCCGTCAGCCAAACTATGTCGACTGGTGACCCCTAGGGGGAGAGCCTTCTCTGTGGGGGTACCTGCCCTCTGGAATGAACTGCCCCCAGAGATACGTAAGATCCCCGACCTACGTACCTTTCGCTGTGCCCTTAAAACTTTACTGTTTCAACAGGCTAGGCTGGCTTAAAATAACGAATTTTAATGGGTGTTTTAGTTTTTAGTTTTTTAGTTTTTAATATAAGGGCCAAATTGTTTAATATGTTTTAAACTGTTTTTAAATTTTATGGAGATATGTTGTTTTATTGTGGCTGTGCACCGCCTTGAGTCCCTCGGGAGAAGGGCGGTATAAAAATTTAAATAATAATAATAAATAAGTAAATTACAAATATGATGCTATCTACTGTGATTTATAGTGTAGCTTACTAACGGAGGGAAAGATATAAACATACCCTCATCACACAGATATACACTGCACATTTTGGTATTTGCAAGTATAGCATCGCTTTTGCAAAGCAAATTTATTCTTCACTTAAGTTAATGCTGGTTTGCAGATGAGAGTTTGAATGCTGTGCTTAGGTTAACTGCTCCGAATCCAGCATGCTGATTTCTTATCATGTGTCACAATTTAACCTGCATTTAACCATTTTAATGACATTATTTTATTAAGTATTCAGAGGAAAAGTACACTCTTCAGGTAAAATATATGGAGACCAGAATAAAAGGCTTTTCTTTCTTTATTATTACAAATATTCATCTCAGAACATTTATAGTATTGGACAAATAAACACGTTAGTGTTCTAGCATGGATGTCTGAAACACTGTGCAGTACTATGCATGTTCTTTATTCTTTGAGACACATACACTCATTCAAAAACTTAAGAATCAGAGTGCTTAAATGCAAGTCTTACTCTCACCTGAAACACAAGTTGATGTGGAAGGATTCTTATTTATAACTGCATAAACAGCTTCTGGTCTGCAGAAGAAATAATTAAGTTAGTTATTTTTCCATATTCAATTATTCAAACTCAGAGATGCTTGAAAATACTGGAAAGTATCAATTCATCAAATCATGCTGGATATGATGAGATAGAGCCTCATCTCTTTCTCTTCCCATATAGCCCTCCCCATCCTACCCTTGAGGTGGATTCAAAGTGAAGTATGTGTTTCACATTAGCCACTTTGGTGTTAATATTAATTCTGATTTGTTAAAAGAAGCCATCATTGGAATCCATGGTTTAAAGTTGGGTGATTTCCTACAAACCCATCAGCAGAAGGCATTAATAAGAACACAAATGTAAGAAAGGAAGGGAAATGAGAATTCTAAGTTCTGTGTGAAGATGGTATTTGTTAAGGTAAAACCACTGATCTGGTAAAAGGTTTCTTCCAAATATATTTCTCAATTTCAAACTTCATTTTAAAAATTCTGAATTTATCCAAAAATTTGGGAATATAATGTATGAACAGTTAAAAAGAGAATAAAAATGATCTGTGCAACTGTTCTTAATTCTAAAACTAATATTCAAAGCTAGCAAAGTTTAAAGACAGACGTGTTAAAAAATCATCTGTGGGGAAACAGCGATTGTCAATATGAATCCCTCCAAATCTCAACCAATGTCTTCTATTCATCTTCTACACAAACCACATGTATTTTGCCAATATTTCAATTCAAATATTCTGACAGCCTTACTTACTCCTCTTTTTGGCATTCATTTCCAGGCAAAATCTTCACATAAGATTTGGGAAACCACCCTCTTCCTTTACCAGCTTCTCCATACCACCAATTTTCTTGCTGCTCCAGCACAGTAATTATGTCATTTCTTGAAAAGTTTAAGTGATTATCTTTTTTTGCAGTCCAAGAGCAAAGTGCTTGTGCTTTTATATTTTCTACCACTTGTCCCTGTGAAAGGTAGGTAGTATGTTAATATCAGCCATGCAAGTTTTAAAGACACAAAATATATACTAAAATATGTTCACTCCAAAAACATACAAATGATAATTTAAAACATAGCAGCTCTACTTTGGAAGAAGCTAAGCATATTTGGAATATACTGCAATTGATTTGGGGTAGTGTAGAAAGAAATGAATAACTCCACCACATAAATAGGAATACTTATATCTACCACCATCTTTTAAATTACCTATTAAAATAGATTAAAGGTGTCTTTAAGGATAATTGTTAACTACAAGAGCTGAAGAAACTTCTTGGATGAGAAATGAAATGTCTTAAAAGAAAAACAAGAAAGTCCAGTTCCCTCTTGGAAAAGCACTTTTGGGACAACAATGACCTGGATGACTGAAAATCTCCCTACACATTTGCCCATAAATAAGTTTTTTTTTAAAAAAAAAATCTATTGCCTTGCCTACAAATTCCAACTGAATTATGGAACATTTTCAATAAAATAGAATAAAGCAGGACAAGGTCTGGTAAACTATCTTGAAAATGTATGTGGTAGACACAGGGCCGGATTTTCCTATAGGCTAACTAGGCTTCAGCCTAGGGCCTCAAGATCATGAGGGGCCTACATTCAAATTGTTAGCAAAATTAAAATTACACTTTCACTATAGGTGAAAGGGCCTCATAAGTGGAATAGCCTAGGGCCTCTTTTCATCTAAATCCGGCCCTGGGTAGACAGGGTAACCATTCATAAACCAACAATTAGCCAATTATGCAGGTTACCACTATGTATTTCTTGTATATAATGTAATATTATATTATATGAAAGAGAATACAGAGTACTTTTCATAGAATATACATTTTTCTAAATGAATGCTACAGATTAGACGGGTACAGCAATATATTTTATTTATTTACATATTTATGTATTTCATATGTAGATTATTCATTCCCAAAAACTTTGGGCCGTTAATAACAGCATCATAAAATAAAATGAGCTCCCCAAAGAAAAGTCAATCCCAAATATACATTTAATAACAAAATCAAAAATATAAAATAGCAAAAGTACAAAACCTATGTGCTTTGGTGTCCTTGGCATATTGATGCTCCCAACCCTGTGCCAACAGTTCCATTCTGTACCAAGAACATACCTGTCCATGGATGGGAGAAACAGATCCTGGGGAAACAGTGCGAGTAAAGGCAGACTTTTGCTGCCATGAGCTAGCATTTAAATTTGCAAAAGATACATTTTGGTACTCTGCTTCATCTGCTGGTTTACTGGGTGAATGTACTCTGCAAGATCAAAACATATACATAAGGGAATTACTTTCAATAAAACCCAATAGATGAAATCATCATAGCAAACTAACCAAATAACATTTAAGATCTTCCAGAAAGGACATATTAGGGATGTCTTTATAATTCATAGCTTCTGCAATTGTTAAGGAATCCTTACTGTGCAGAAAGAGAGAAATTCTTGAAATCAACTTGGAAACCTTTTGCATGCAGATGGATCCTCCAATTACAGCTATCATTTTTAATTCAAGAAGCACATAATATCAAAACACAGTACAAATACTTTTACATTTTAAAACTGGAACAGAGATCAGCTGCTCTCACATTATGTCAAATTAAAAATTTGGGTTGTTGGTGCATTCACTGTGAAATAGTTTTATTGAAATATTTGAATTATATTAATGGTTATTTTTTAATTTCAGCTTGTATTGCCTATTTGTGTGTTTATGTGTGTGTGTGTGTGTGTGTTGGGTTATTATTCTTAGACAGCCGGTCACTATATAAATTGAATACATAAATTTATATTTACTCTAGAGGAACTGAAGTAGCTGCTACAGTGACTGTAGGAGGAAGTAAGGCTTTCTTGGGACGTAAAACAGCTTTTTCATTTTCAGGCATTTTCTCTACATAATTGCATGGAAACCAGCCAAAATGTCCTTGAAAACTTCCATATAACCAGCCAGGTTCTCCTTCAGTTTTCTCAGCAACCTGGAAAGGAAAAAGGAAAGAAAAAAAAAATCAAATGTAATGTTAATATTTTTTTTACTTGTTTACAAATATGTTTTAATTCTGCTACATGTCAGTTGGTGCATTTTGTAAAGAAAAAAAAAACAAAATTATTTGGGATTAAGTAAACTAATTATTTATTTAGTATTCAGAAATGATAATTTACCTCAATAATATCTCCGGAATGGAAGCTTATCTCATCTTGATTCCTGGCTTCAAATGGGTATAAAGCTCTATAATTCACAAAGCCCACTGATGTCTTAGAATCAGCAGTACTAACCGCATGGCCTGAAGAGTCAAGGAGAAACTATTAATTTATTGCTAGTTCCTGACAAATGCTTTTTCAAAAGTCTATTTCTAGGAAGGTCGGGATTTCTGCAAGCACACAACCTTATCCTCTTGTTTAAATCTTGGGAAGAGCCAAATACACAGGAATCATTACTACTGAAAAATTGCCATCCCTTTAAGCTCCTATTTCCTCACCAATCAGGAACAGCAAGAGATTGTAGATAGCTATCAGAGGTCATGGTAGATCCTATTTACATATATGTGCATAACAAAAGCCTTTCCATTAATACGCAGGAACCTTCTTGTGCGGTAACTACCACTGTTCCATAGAAGTCCCCTGTCCTCAGTAGATTTCAAAGCAAAGGGAAGGGGAAATCAGCAAAAAACAACATCTGTTATCTGACTGGAGCATCCATGAGAGGGTCCCTTCTGGGGACAGTCCTATCTCAAGAGTGGAAGCCATCTCAGGATCTTAAATGTTGTTTCAAACTACAGAATAATCCAAACTAAACCACTCACATCTAAAAAAAGAATAGTTACCTTCATTTTTCAGGGCAGACTTAAGATTTCCCTTTGTTTGTTTAAGAACATTTACATTTTTCTCATTTAAGTGAGAAACAATTTTCTCAGAATCTTGCAAATTAAAAATATCTTTTCTTTTCTTCCCTTCTTCAAATCGTTTAAGTTTCTCCTCAGCTTCTTTTGCAATTTTCTCCTGTCTTTTTTTTTCTTCTGCCTTTTGTTTCTGCCTTTGCTGCTCAGTCTCTCTTAGAATTCCTACTTGTTTATTTTGTCTTTCCTCTTCAAATTTCTCCTCTGCTGGTTTTTGTTTCTGGATCTCCCTCTCTCGTGCAATGGCCTCCTCAGCTCTTTGTTTTTCCTCATGGATCTTTTCCTGCATTCGATCTTCTTTCAGACGCTTTTTTCTTTCTTCTTCTTCCTTCCTGATGGTTTCTTGCCACAAGTTCTCCTTTTCCTGTTTTGCTTTTCTTTTGAAAGATAGAAAAGAAACAAACATAATTATTCTGATATTAGTATTGAAAAGCAAGAATGAATAGCAAACATCTTGATGTGAACCTTATACCAGCTTTCTTTTCACTGCCTTCTGAAGGTTTTAGGTTCACCTGTTTGATGCAGTCTTGGTTATAGCTATATTAATGTGTATTATTCACTGAAATGCAGTATTTTGATGCAGAATGTTAGAAATAAACTTAAGCCTGATTTTAATTTTGTCACACCAATGTAATCAGTAAAGAGTGGTAAATGCTAGCATGCATAAGGATTCTCAAAATGCAGTTTCTGCATTTATTGTTGCCTATTAATCGGAAACAAAGAATAAAATGAAGGGGCTAGAGGAAAAATTAGTAATACTTTAAACATTACCGTGAAGTCTCATCTTCTATTCTTTTTTTCAAAGCAAGTTCAGTTCTTTTTCTTTCCAGTTCTTGAATTTTTTCATGTTTGATTTTGTGGAGCTGCTCAAGCGCTTTCTGCTGTGTGCAGTAAGTTTCTCTTAGTTCCTATTAAAAAAGCACAAAATTAAATAAGCAAAAAAGCAAGCAGAATTTAGATAAATGATTCCATTTAATACCTACCTGATATGATACCACAGATACCTGCCAACACTTTGAAGATGTATGATTCTATTCTAACCCTTAAACTGTGAGATGATTTTCAATTGCTGAGACATGAATATTTTGTTATTTCTCTACTAAATTACTTCAGAACTTATTTGAAAAGGGTCACTAAAAAATCTTCAAAAATGTTAAATAACAAACAGCAATATGAAGAGGAGAAAAACAATGTAATTGTTCATTAACAATTAAAAATGTAAACAATGTAAAACAAGGTGTTAGTTGTGACCTATACTGCCCTATATGGCATGGGACCAGGCTACCTACGGAACTGGCTTCATCCCATTACATCAGCCTATCCCACCTGGTCAGGCTGGGAAGGTATGTTGCAGTCTCCTTCCGGGTCTAGGAAGAGAGCCTTCTCTCATATTACCCCCACTCTATGGAATATTCTCTCCCCAGAGGTGAGGCAGGCCCCCATTCTCTGGCCTTCTGAAAAGGAGTTAAAACATGGCTCTGCAGGCTTGTGTGGGGAGCCCAGAGGAGCAGGCAGTCATGGTGTTTGTTAGTGCCCTCTCTTTGCCTTTATCAACCAATTTTCAAAATTTTAATTATTCCATTTTAATTTTTATATACTGTTATCATGTTTTATTGTACACTTCGAGTCCATCTTTGAGAGAGATGGGTGGTTCAGAAATGTGAAATATAAATAAATAAATAATCTAAAATCTATGAACACAACTAAGATGAACAATGCTTCAAGACTACATAAGGATCTACTTAATTTGGGCAGAAATGGTAATTGGGATATTTATATTTGCATGTTTACTTTATCATTTTACTACATGTTTATTGGTGCAGGAATTGGAGAATTATTATTTTTATTCAATAATGTTCCCCAAAGACTAATACATTGACCTTAATTATTAAGGTCAACATGCACATCTTGTGGATAACACACAGATCGTTGTGAGGATGCTTAGCATCACCTTTACAGTTTTTACCCTGCAATATACATGTAATTCATGACATTTACATATGTAAGCTTTATAAGATTGCACCAATTGCCAAAACCTCAAGATGTTAAGGCCTTTCCTACATTTTTGAGAACATTAAATTGTATCAGCAGACATAGAATTGATGTTTCATTTCCAATCTCATACAATGAAGGGGCTATGGATGACTGTATAACAGAGTTATTGATATTCTGAGTTATTTCCAATATCACAAACATAATACACAGTCTCTGAACAGAAACCAGTAGCTGAACTGTTCATATCTATTTCCCACTACATTTCTGACCTGTCATCACATTCTTCAATGAACTTTTCAAATGGTTCTTTTTCAGTCCCTCACTTTTCTCTAGTAATTATTGAAGAAAAAAAAATAAACGTTTTCATACTTGGGCTACATGCTTTGCTGAAATTAGTTCATCTTCAAATCAGGCTTGCTTTAGTTATGTAACATGTTTCACACTCAGCCCCATTAAGTAGACCAGATCAAGAAATTGTCCCTAGTTGTCTATTCATGGATCTTGCATATCTTGGTCCAAGTCATTTACTTTACTCGCTACATTCATTAACAACATGCATTTTGTTGGGTGTATTTCTCATCCCATTTTTTTTACTGATTCAACAAGAGCACTATTAATTCTACTTATATTTATGTAGTTTTCCATATGGTGATGGGAAATTTTCCAAACAAAGTTTCCTCATCAACAAAGAGTGAAAAAAAAAACTTTAATAACTACTGCATCTACATATTCTTCACAATTTCCATAAATTGTAAACTATAGCACTATAGGTAGTTGGGGATGGAATCACTGGAAGGAATCATCTTAAAACTGTGATGTGAAACACCAATGTGTAGAAAGCTCCTCAAAGATTCTCAAGACCTTTTGGTATCTTACGTCTTGTCTGAATAATGAGAGATGCTTTGTAAACAATCATATTTAATTCAGTGTTAGAAGGCTGCATGCCAATTACAGCATTGGGTGGAATGTTTCTGCCAGTTCTGGCCAAGTCTCTTTCTTGCAATTACCCTTTATACTGACATAACAATGCCATTGTTAATTGAGTACAGAACATTAGACTTTGCTAGTACACATCAGCCATATCATTATCAAGTAACTTTATTATACTATTAGACATTATCAGCAAATGTCAAACTAATTGTTAAACGATCAAGATAAATTACAAAATCTGAGAGTTACTCGGGTATAGTGGCTAAGATGCTAGACTAGAAACTAAGACATTGGAGGGAGTTCCAGTCTTTCCTTAAGCACAGAAACTGGCTGAATGACTTTGAGCCAGTATCTGTCTCTCAACCCAATCTACCTGACTGGGTGGTTATGAGGAAAACAGGGAGAAGACACATTATGAATGTCACTTTGAATTGTACAAAATAAAAACAATCTTGTATTTATCCCTTGCTCTTACTTTCATTCCATTGCTTTATGTTCTCAAATGGAAGGCTTTACATCCAAATCAAGTGCCAGGCCAAGTCTTCAAAAATTGTGCTTGTACATACACAGAAGAATATACATATACAGCATGTACCTACCTGCCTTTCTCCATCATACATGTAGGAAAAGATAGATTGCTTTCCACCTTCCAAAACTGCTTTGTTGCAGAAACAGTGGAAATTCTAAGATCCCCCTTGTTTCAAAAATGTCTCTTTTTATATTACCAATGGCAGAAGAAAAATGGTCCTGTGTGGCTTAATACAGCCTGGCAAAATTCCCATCCCATTCTAAATAAGTGCACCTCAGGCAGGACACCCTTTCCACAATGCTATAGGCTAGCACAATCCTATCTTATTCTTGTTACATGGAGTTGTCATTCTGAGTCTTCTGGATGTATTTTGATACTAAATAGACAGATAGAATATTCTTTCACATGCCCAAAGACCGGTGATGTTTCTTAAGGATCTTGCATCCAAACTAGGTAACATCATCAATGCTAGTGAAGCACTGAAGCACTAGTACTGATGATGTTACCTAGTTTGGGTAATGAAACATCAGAAAGTACCAAAAACCTGCAGCCACAAAATTTTAAAACAAACTGGAATTAAAATGACAGGAAACAAATCCTGTGATGGAAGCAAATGCCAACTCTATCCACACATTATATTGATAATATGAAGAATTCATATATTTGTTCATTTTCTTTTATAAGCTATTTATCAGAAATACTACTGCAACATTCCAAAAATAATCAGCTGACCAGTTACTCTGTGAATAGATACAGAGTATGAATATTGGTATTTCTCAGGATACTCTGTGACTGTCCTCAAAGGGATTATTTGTGAACGAATGATTACATAAAGACCAGTTTCATAATGAAAAATGAAAGTCAGAATTCACAAAGTTCAACTGGATAATCTATGATTTTAAGTAGATACCTAAGGTTTTTTTTGTAAAAAGCATTTATTAACATAAAAAAGTTGCACAGCTAATGACAATTATCAACATCACTGTCTGTTTGTCCTGCATTTCAATTCTCCTTGACTTCTTTATTTTTTTTCAGAATAATATTCAGTGCATGTGTTGAAGCAATGATTTATAAAATCTCATACCACACAATTGTTTTGCTACAAAAGACCAACACTGCTATATTTCCATGTCAACAGCTCTGGAAATGCTTTCTTCTCTTTGATCTAAGGGGAAACTGGAAAAAGATGAAGGCAATATATGGCAGCCTGTATGCAAGTTATCAGAGCAATTGTCACATTGTGATAGTGAAAAGCCAAACGAAGATGATCCTATATGTAGCGTGTTCAGCTATATACAGCTAAACGTTGTGGTGGAATGGAACTTGGATCCAAAGAGGTAATCAAATGGGTTTCTGAAAATAGTCTAAAGATGTAATCCATGAGGGAACAAAGATCTTAAAATTTTTATTCTGCAAAATATAAAACTTGCCTTAGTGATAGTCTACTTGGCAGTTGGTTTGTTATAAAAAGCCAAACACATGGGAGAACAAGTCAATATGTAATGGGCTTTGTAATTTCACAAGGTTTTTCTCCCAGGAATGTATAGTCTTGAGATTTTATGATCTGAATCCAACTTCCTCTGATTTTATAACTACCGGTATCTAAAATGAAAGTAGCAGGCCATTTTCTTCAAGTGTAACTTCAGAACTCAGCCAGTTTATTATTTTTTCTGTCAATGTTCTTGAGGCAAAATCAAGCATATATATTTATCAGTGGATTTTAGTTGGTCTGGGGAGAAGCAGAGATTGTTTTTCACAAAGTGTTTTTTTTTTCTTTTTACTTATTCTAGGAATTCTGGCCTTACACTTTTCCTTTGTTATGCATATAATAGACAAGTATTTTTCTATGGTCAAAATAGAAAAAATAATAACAATCTTGATTACAGACAGGACTTTGTTTCAGATAAACTAATGAGGTAATGAGTGGTAATCCATCCACCAAACACTATGTGAGTTTTAAGGATTTTACTTAAAAGCAGCGACCTGAGGATTATTCCTACCCTTTCCCATAATTGAAAGTATTTAGTTAGTGGGCAGAGTTTAAAAACAAGCAGAAGGCAAATAAAATCTCTTCCTGCAATAGAGCATCAAATTATTGCATAGGAAAATATTTTAAGTGCTGTAGAAATGCAAATTATTTTTAACACACACACACACACACACACACACAAAACATGGAAATTATTAGAAGCAAAAAAAGGCCAAAGATTAGAAAATAACCTTAAGTAAGAGGAAGAGGTTGTTGAGACAGCTTAGCAGATACAAAAGGCACTGAAGAATAGAAGCATCCATAGTCTCACACTGTAAGATAAGGCAGATAAAAAGCAGTTAAACTTTTCATTGGGATTGTTGCAAAGGTGGAGAATTTAAGGGTTATGACAAGGAATTGGAATAATGAATCTAGCAATCAAAATTCTGATTCAACTCTCATCATATCTACCCATATATTATGTGGAGGGGTGAATGAGAGTGAGAGAGACAGAGTTTTCTATAGCCAAAATTAGTAATATTAATGGTTCACAAATAAGATCAGCAATAAATTCTTGTCCTCTGCAATGTTCCTATTCAGCCATCGCTTCTTCTGCTTCATATGCCATTCCATTTCTATTCTCATTTCCCACAATAAGTCAAGCATGCCATAGGATGCATAAACACAACTGGGCGGAGTTTGGGGAATTGGCATTCCTTCAACTGTTGACCCTTTGATGCTTCCTGCTTGAGATGAAGTGGTGCTATTTTGTAATGTAAAGATTGGTACTTGGGGTAGGCATCTTTCTACAGTATTTGCATGTAAGCTCTACAGTGAAAACAGGTACTATAATGGATTTGACCTCATCGAAGCAATAAAAAAAAGCAGGATAGTCTTTTATATTTGTTGCTCTACCCCTTGACTTAGACAGAACAGACAAATCAGGAACTATGGTCCAATCCTCTTGACTACAATATTTCATGAAACAGACAATTTCCTTTCACTTGCTCAGTTCTACAGCATATATGATTCACAGGTAGATCTTCCTTAATGACTGCCATGTTTAGTAATCATTCAAAGTTATAACGGTACTGACTATCAGTCTTTCCACTTACGACCATTGTAGCATCCCCAGTCATGTGATTGCCATTTCAGCACTTTTACATCAGACGAGTGTTTACGACTGCTGCAGCAACCCAAAGTTATGGGATCACCATTCCAAAAAGCAGAGTCAATGGAAAGCAGTAAAATCGCAAGTCACAGTCATGTGATGTCACATTTAACAACTGTGGCAGGAGTGAGGTTGTTAGTCTGTTGCAGTCACATGATTCTTGTTTAATGATTGGGTTGCTTAGTGATAGAACTGTTCGTTCTAATTGTAGTCATTAAGCAAGGACTACTTGTAGTTGGCTAGGCTAAGCCTCCAATGTTAATCAGTCACAAGAGACTTCAGTTATGTAACTGAGAAGAGGAAGCCGCTTCTTCCATATCACCTGCCTATGCTGTCCACTTAGAGAAGGCAAGAAAACAAGAAAGTAAAGAATGGAAAGTGATGGCAGCACTGACTTTTCCCTTTGTTACATTTACAGGCATACTCTGTTATCTATCAGCTACACGAAAAGGTTTCAGACACAATATTGTTAAGTAGGAAATTACTAATCACCACATTCCCAAGATTATCTTAAGCACAAAAAATTATAGCTTTGCCAGCCCTCAATATTCTAATTAATATACATGTATATGTATCTAAAATATGTTTTATAATTTAAACACAAATATGTTGTAATGTAGCAGGGAAGACTGTCACTAAATGACTTATACATCTCATTTGCTCTCCAGGATTTGACAGTTGAAGGACAATTTCAAGCCCTCCATTCACCTTTGGCTCTGGAAAGAGATTTGAATCATGCTGTCATGCTGCAATCATGGCTTTTGGGTGGAGATGACAGAAAACAGTAAAGAAAAGAAGACATTACTACTAAGTAAGCCAGGTAAGGAAGATTTCAGGTGTAGCTTAAGCCCTTGCTTCTCCATTTTGAAAACACACTTCTATTTCAGGAAAGAGGTTAAGTGGAGAACCTAACTGCCAATAAAAAGAACATGGAATAGATTCTTCATTTAGAAGTATGTTTAGTAACTGCAATTTGTACACATTTTTGGTTTTCTCATCCTTTTCGAGCTTTTTGTTTTCTCCATATTTCCCCCTTATCTGCATATTCCCAATTCTCACTGTGGTGACATACATTCTGTAGTTGAATGGAAGGAGAATAGATGATGTAATATTAACTTCACATGGACCAAGAAACTGCTTTGGTGTGTCTTAAATAATGAACATATTGAGTGAAATAGCTGGCCTTTTGTTCTTATTATATTATATATAAGCTTTTATTAATTAAGAAAAAGAGTATTTGCAAATCTTATTTTCATCTATTTCCCTATGCCAAGATTCACTTTCAATATTTTAGTGGATGTTACTTTGAATAATATTAATTTATCCTACAATATGCAAAATAAAACCCATGTGAATCTTGGTGTAAATGGGCCAAACTGAAAAATGCTGGTACTAATTCTTTTTAAAATCAAATTGGAGATTTAATGGGCGAGCATTTGAGTATCATCAACGAAATGCATTTTTCATGAACAGAAGATACCACACAGAGCTTGATTGGTTGAAGGAACAAATTGAAAAGAAAGTTTTGCTAAATAAACAATCTTAGATGCTTAAATAAAAGGCTACAACAAAACTGTACCTTGAGCTGCTTATTAAAAATATCAATTTCTGACAGCTTAGAAGTGGTTTCTTTTTCTAGTGTATCTAGTTGTTCCTGAAGTTTTTGGCATAATTCTTCTTTTTCTGATGATTTCTTCTGCAGTGAATTTAGATGTGTATCTGCAAATGAAAGACCAAATATTTAATATTTACTTACATATTTTTAATTTTTTGTCACTCACATATCTACATATTGTATTTACTTAATTTACTAATACTTCAGTCTTTGACTAACTATAGGGGAGAGCTGCCTTAAACAGTCAGATTGTTATGCAGAATGGGTTATGTCACTCACAGTACAAAAAAGAATGGGAAGATTTTCTGTGTGTCAGAATTCCTTTTCAGACATACCTCATGTGAGGGAGGAAAAAACTCTTGAATGAATGTATTCTTACAAACATGTACACATAAGACCAATGATACTTACCAAAAGAGTTGCTAATCTTGTGATTTATTTTCTCACTCAACTGTTGTTTCTCAGGAACAAAAGCAATCAGCTTATTCTGATATTCCTGTAGAGTTGAGGGTGGTATATTTTAGAAAAGTATTACCAGCATAATGTGTTTGACCTAATCTGATAATACAAATGAAAGCACAGAGATAAGAAAAAACACTCCTGCACCCATTTAGTGGCTTCCAAGTGACTATGGCCCAAATTTTCAATGTTTCTTGAGAAATTAACAGGGTAAAATGGGTATCAGACTCATATCAATTTTGCACCTTAAAATCCCCAATCTGAGAAATGGCCAGTTCCTAAGTGTGAATTCTTAAAAGTCCTCATATACCTACTATAATGATTTCATTTTAGTCATCCCATGATCCCTGAAGCCAAAACATTTCCAAAAATATGAGTCCTTTGGATGAAACAAAACAAAACCAATTTCTGATGTAGCCAGATATATTCTGGCATGGAAAATATATCTCCAATAATAAACCTGCTGCCCAGAACCTAATTTCAAAGAAGGTGCAAGGCCTCAATTCTGATATTGGACTACAGTAATATGTTCCTTCCAGAGAAACGAACTGTGCATATGAAAATGAAAAACCAAAGAGAGAATGGATGGCAGAGAATAGGCAATCTTCTCAAGAAAAACAACAATAAAGAAACTTGGGACACTCAGAAGATCGTAGCCTTAATAGACAAGTTAATTCAATGGTTTTTTTCTCTCTGCATTGACTGTCATTTTGTGGGAATGAATTCCACACTTATCAAAACATCACATACTTGAAGCTGTTGTTCCAATTGCTTGATTTCAATAATTCCCATATCACATTTCTTTTCTAGATTGGCAAACTCATTTTTATGCTTTTGTTTTCTGTTACGAACATCTTCTAGTCTTCCAGAGATCTGATGGTGTTTGTCATTCTGTATTAATAAACATTTTAAACATTACAACAATAAAATATACAAATTTCTTGACATACAATCATTTATTACTTCTTTAGGATTTAATCCAAACTGTGGCATGTGTGATTGAGACGTGGCTAAGTACAAGTTAAAGAGAATTCTCTTAAGAGTTCTGTCTATCAGGTTCCTCCACTGAGTAGCAGTTAAAGACTAGATGCTGGGCAACTTGGATAGGCAGTAGATGGATATGCTATACATGAATGCAATGACCAGATGCTCCATTTAGCAATTCATTAACTCTTAATGTAAATTAGCTACTTACTGGGACAATGCAGGGATTCTGTTGGTATACTATCCACTGATTTGTAACTATATTACTCTTTCTAGCAAGGTAATCTCAGGGATAATTTGGACTATCTTTACTGAGTAATTTCAAGATCCACAGTGAGGATGGTTCAGTATTTTATATCCCCAATGCAACTACACAATTATCCCAATTAGTATTTGGACTGCAGGGAACTGGATGATCTATTAAGATGATCTATTCTAAGCACCTGCCAGATCACTGTTTAGTGAATGACTTAAAACAGATTTTTCTACCACTTCTTGTAGGCAAAACTGTAAAACTCTTACCAAGCTATGAAAGATGAAAAGTATGTAGGTGGTTTACTTCTGGGCTAATCCCATGCTATAAAATATATTTCTTTTGACACTCCTCTCTCCACTTCAGCCATGGTTTTTAAGGTGAATTGATAATCTCAGTTGTTTTTAAGTGGGAGAGTGTAAATTGAATAACACAAGAAATAACATCACATTGCTTCAAAGATAAATGTTATTGAAATGAATGAATAAAACATAGTTGAAGAAATACTAATGAAGGTATTCCCCTCCTACATAGTTATTACCCGTGTTTCCCCAAAAATAAGACTGGGTCTTATATTAATTTTTGCTCCAAAAGATGCATTAGGGCTTATTTTTGGGGAAATACGGTCTAAATGCACCCATCTGGTTGACAATCTTAACTGGGGTTATATTTGGGGTAGGGCTTAAATTATGAGCATCCTGAAAAATCATGCTAGGGCTTATTTTCCGGGAAACAGGGTATATAGCTCCATACAGCTGAAAGCTTCTTCAATTCTTCTGATGCTGTCCTTTAGTTGTTTTGTCTCTATAAATGACTACTCTTAACTTTAATATGAGAAATGAGGAAATGACACCATAGAAGCAAAAAAAAAATCTACAATTTATTTACAATTAAAGCAATTAGACAAAAGATATGTAGAAGTCACTAAAACAGAATGTTTAGTTGTAATGCTATACTTTTGTGGAGTGTGTGACTCACCAGTGCATCTAGTTCAAGATTAAGACTCTTTTTTTTAGAAGATAACTTCACAATTTCCTCCTGTTCTCTATTACGTTGATTAAGAAGGTCTTGACGACGAATCCTCTCCCACTCAAGCCGTCTTTGACGCTCGAGTTCTTGTTTAGCTGCCTGAAAATAAAACACCTAAACTATCAGCTTCAATACTTCTGCGATAATAGAATAGTATCATATTCATTTATTGTTTTCACTAAAGACAGTAACTCAGAACCTTGGGAAAAAAAGTTTAGATAAAAATAATGCATATTAAAAAAAACTAGTATGTAACATATAAATATTCTTTTACATTCTATATATATTTTTCAAAAAAGCTTCCATGTATATCTTTTGCAGCAAAATCGACACAATGTTCTTCGACCTTATGAAGAATAATGGAGGCATGATAATAGAATACTATCCATTTTTTTAAATTTAAAAATGAAGGTATTTGTTATTCATAAAATGCAACTTTTGTATTTATTCCAATCAATGCTCAGGTTCACAAAATGCACCCCAAGAAATTTAGACTATCATTTACTTTAATGAGCACTTATTTGTATGAAAACTACCTGCTTAAATTAGAATTCAGAATAAAAGCCAAAATATAAAATAATCCCAATTTCTTAGCTGTTAATACGGAAATATTTTCTAAGAGTACACTTAAAGAGCCCCAAACTCTCACAGGAATAGTTTTACTTAACTGACAAACTGAAACAAATTTTCCAAAGGTTAAATCATAAAACAATTAGAAAAACAACCTCTCGTCTTTCAATCTCTTTTTTCCGTTCTTCCTCCCTTTGTTTCTCCATCTCTTGTTGTTTTTCCAAGCGCCTTTCTAGCTCAAGTTGTTTCTTCTGCTCCAGTTCCTTCCGCTCCCTTTCTCTTCGCTCCTTTTCTTCTCTTTCCTTCTGTGCTTTACGTTCCATCTCTCTTTGCTGTTGCTCAAGGAGCACTTGGCGCCGTTTCTCCAGCTCCAAGTTGCCTCTTTCATAGTTTGCCTTCCTCTTATCCTCAAAGGTAACTAGGTTAAAGAACAGTAAATGGCACTGAACTATAAACACTGATCAGGTCATATTCTTCTCAATTATTTTTACGAATTGGATTATGGTAGAAATCATCAAATAAGAGATATAATTAACATAATTAAACTACTAACATTTTTTTCAAAAATATTACCCCCTATTGCAATGCAGAAAGAGAGGATCCCAATTACCTGGAAGTTTCTGGGGAGGTTCCTCTTCTTGTTGATAAGCTGGAAGAGCACAGTTAATATTTTCCAAATGCTTTCCATTTCTAGGAGAAAAAGAGAACATAGTCGTTTTTTAAAATTTCAGTTCACTTGGCATTTTTCTGTAATTTTAATTACATGTCACCTTGTGTTAAGCACCTCAATGAAGGGGGCACAAATTCAGGAGGCAGACTTAGTGGGAGTGGATGCCCAGCTTTGGCCATATCAGTTAAATGCATAGCTAAGATGAACTCCTCTGCTTTCAGCTGTCCATCACCATCAATGTCAGACAGAGACCTAGGAAAGACAGATCTGTGTTAAAAGAACCGAGGGAACTGGAGAGAGCTATTTTGTTCTTTGCATACAATATCTCCAGGGTATCCATGATGAAGCAGGGACCAGCTTTGAAAAACCAGTTACAGAAACAGCACTTAAAGGTACTGTTAGGCAGGAAGAGGTAGGAAATCTGCAACTATAGTGTGTAAGCCACTAAGAGTCACCTTTTGCAGGGGAGATGGGAAGAATAGAAATTCAATAAATAAATAAAAAACAAAATGTTGCTGAAATCCAGACAGGCTGGCGCTGCTGTGAGTTGACATTCATTATCATCCACAAGCCAGTGGCCTCCCTATTCTCTATAATTCATGTATTGGCACATACGGTATCAATTTGAAGGACTCCAGATATAGTTCAGCTAGGTTATGTGGTTATGTGCTATTGATTTTTTAACAGCAAAAAGTCAACATTTGCTTAATTTTCTTATTAGTATGATAATAACCATTGTCTTTAACCTACTTTGAGATGTCTCTCTATAAAGCCCTACAAGCCTGAGCTCCAATGTAACTTTAGCAGCAACTCCTCTAGAGAAATACAGCTCGTCCTCCATGCTCATCCCAACGCATTCCCTAAACACGGGAGGTGAAAAGTATGGAAATCTGGAAACCACTTTGGGAATCAACTTGCATTCTCTGTGACATGATTTGGTAAGGCTGCTAAAGCGTTATGCTTTTATTATGATTATGTACTGTGGTTTTGTAATTATAATTGAAAATATTACCGTATATTTAATGGCATATCTCCACTATCATGAAAAATGAATTGTTTTAGATTAAGCAGCACACTAGCTAAATGAATAAATGAACGATCCAGGGGGGAAAAATCAATACTCTCCTTTTTCAATCTAGGAATAATAGTACAATATTAAATGCATAATGACCTAGTCTGCACATAATGCTGAATACAAGCTACTACATGCATCATGTAAAGAAATAAAAAAGAAACATGCAAAACAACAAAAAAGTAAGCAGATTAGCAACCACATCCATAAGCAGGCATCCATCTAAGGCCATTTCCATAAACACAAAATTAAAGAACACAGAATACAACAATGCTGTACATGTACAGTTGCAAGAAAAAGTATGTGAACCCATTGGGATTACGTGAAGTTTTGCATGAATTGGTCATAAAATGTGCTCTGAACTTCATCTAAGTCACAACAATAGAAAAACACAGTCTGCTTAAAATAATACTACACATAAATTAGATGTTGCCATGGTTTAATTGAACATAACATGTAAACATTCACAGTGCAGGGAGGAAAAAATATGTGAACCTTTGGACTTAATAACTGGTTGACCCTCCTTTGGCAGCAATAACCTCAACCAAACGTTTCCTGTAGTTGCAGATCAGACCTGCACAGCGATCTGGAGTAATTTTGGATCACTCCTCTTCACAAAACTGTTTCAGTGTAGCAATATTCTTGGGATGTCTGGTGTGAATCGCTCTCTTAAGGTCATGCCACAGCATTTCAATCGGGTTGAGGTCAGGACTCTGACTGGGTCACTTCAGAAGGCGTATTCTGTGCTGTTGAAGCCATTTTTTTGTTGAATTACTTGTATGCTTTGGGTCATTGTCCTGTTGCATCACCCATCCTCTGCGGAGCTTCAGTTGGCGGACAGATGGTCGTACGTTTTCCTGCAAAATGTCTTGATAAACCCTGGAATTCATTTTCCCATCAATGACAACAATCTGTCCAGGCCCTGAGGCAGCAAAGCAGCCCCAAACCATGATGCTCCCTCCGCCATGTTTTTCAGTGGGGATGAGGTTTTGATGTTGGTGTGCTGTGCCTTTTTTTCTCCACACATAGTGTTGTGTGTTCTTCCCAAACAAATCAATTTTGGTTTCATCTGTCCACAGTATATTTTGCCAGTAGTGCTGTGGAACAGCCAGGTGCTCTTTTGCAAACTTCAAACGTGCTGCAATATTTTTTTTGGACAGCAATGGCTTCCTCCGTGGTGTCCTCCCATGTACTCCATTCTTGTTTAATGTTTTCCTTATTGTAGATGTGTCAGCAAAAATGTTAGCATTTGCCAGAGATTTCTGTAGGTCTTTAGCTGACACTCTAGGATTCTTCTTTACCTCATGAAGCATTCTGCGCTGTGCTCTTGCAGTCATTTTTACAGGACGACCACGCCTAGGGAGAGTAGCAACAGTGCTAAACTTTCTCCATTTGTAGACAGTCTGTCTTACCGTGGACACATGAACATCAAGGCTTTGGAGATACTTTTGTAACCCTTTCCAGCTTCATGCAAGTCAACAATTCTTGATCGTAGGTCTTCTGAGAGCTCTTTTCTGCGAGGCATGGTTCACATCAGACAGTGCTTCTTGAAACCAGTAAACCCAAAACAGATGTGTTTTTTTAAAGGGCAGGACAGCTGTCAGCAACACATCCAATATCATCACACTGATTGGAGTCAAGGTTGGCTCACTCCTGGCTCCAATTAGCTCTTGGAGAAGTCATTAGGCTAGGGGCTCACATACTTTTTCCTCCCTGCACTGTGAATGTTTACATGTTATGTTCAATTAAACCATGGCAACATCTAATGTTTGTGTAGTATTATTTTAAGCAGACTGTGTTTTTCTATTGTTGTGACTTAGATGAAGTTCAGAGCACATTTTATGACCAATTCATGCAAAACTCCACGTAATCCCAAGGGGTTCACATACTTTTTCTTGCATCTGTACAAAACAATTCCATTCTTCATCGCTATAAGTTATTTGAAACACCAGCTACTACTAAGAAATGCAGAGAAAGAATATCAGGAGTTGGTCAAGCAAACCCTGATTATTCTATCTGGAAAATTAAATCTGAGCTATTCAATAAACTTTAGTTAAAACAATGCTTGATTTAGCATTATTTGTGGTTGTTGTGAAAGTAGGTAGTTACAGCCATAGTACTTTTCAAGAATTTGAAATAAAAATGGCAATCTACTAAAAAAATTTACAAACATGTATCTGTGAACAAACTTACCAGATAGTGGCTAACTGTGTCTGAGATAAGTTTGATTGTAGAAGAGCATTTCTTGCCTGAAACCCTTAATAAATCAAATGTAACAATTTACCACACACATTAACATGTAAAACCAGTTGGAGCTATGAACTAATGATCTATATTTTAAAAAGTTATAGAATTAATTTCATTTAAAATTACATTCCAAAAATATCATTTTTTTTTTTACAAAAAAATTATTCCAAACATAATCAGTACCGGTAGCTCTCAATTTATGAGCAGAATTAGGATCAACATTTCTGCTGTAAGTTCTTGCAGTCATAAATTGAGTTGGACAGAGTTTTTATGATAATTTTATGGCAGTTAAGTGAATCATGCTGTTAAGTGAATCAAGCAATTTGTTAAGCTAATCTAGTTTTTCCAATGGGTATGTTTTGCTAGAAATCAGCAAAAAAAGTTCCAAATCATGATCATGGGACCACAGGATGCTACAAACAATCGTAAATGTGAGTTGACTGCCAAGAGCCCAGACTGCAATCACATAACTACACTACTTAAGAATCCAGGAGAACTGTGGCCCACGAACCTTGGGAGATACTGTAGATGCACTGCCTTTCTTAATTGTAAATTTTAATGTGCATAAAGCAAAATATAATGCACACAACTGGTATTATCATAATAATTTATCAAAATTAAATTTAGTTTTTGTCCTGACAGAACTCTCAGGGTCTCTGGCAACCATGTATGGTAAATGGCCTGAAAAATATTGTAATTTATTAATAGCAATAGCACTTAAGACTTATATACCGCTTTACAGTGCTTTACAGCCCTCTCTAAGCAGTTTAGAGTCAGCATATCGCCCCCAACAATTTGGCTCCTCATTTTACTGACCTTGAAAGGACGGAAGGCTGAGTCAACTTTGAGCCAGTGAGAATCAAACTGCTGGCAGTCAGCAGAATTAGCCGGCAATACTGCATTCTAACCACTGTGCCATCACAACTCTCAGCTCATCATTTCTAATTTATACACTCGTGAAAAACCACAGCATGTTTGCATGCACTTGATAATGGGGTATCAACCAGCTAAATCTGAGAACTAAGATTCAATTTGTGTACAGCTCTTTAGTCCATAGTCCAAGGCTGAGTAGGATGGAATCAGATGAATACTGGGAAACTCCCAGGAAATCCAGGGCTGTAGGCTTGTGGGGAATCGAAAAAATATTCCTGAAAGGATTTCAAACTATATCCATTCTATGATAGAGATACATCCATGAAGTCTCCACATATTGCCCTTGACTTGAAGGAGATTCTATCTTATTTATTTCACAATATATAAAAAACTACTTTTCAAAATAGTTCCCTTTGAAATGCTATCCATTTTAATCTGTATTGCAAAAATACAGAAAAATCATTTTGTTAATTAAAACTAGGACAATATGATGTGATGTGTAGGTGCTTTTAAACCAGAAGAATAACTACTGAAAAAGAGTATTAATTTTAAAATAAAGCTTGTGTATTTTTTTTTTTAAATTTGATTTATATGCCGCCCTTCTCCGGAGACTCAGGGCGGCTTATAATGTGCTAAGCAATATTTTATTGTTGAGAGCCAGTCTAGTCTAGTGGTTAAGGCACCATCTAGAAACTGGGAGACTGTGAGTTCTAGTCCCTCCTTAGCCATGAAAGTCAGCTGGGTAACCTTGAGCTTGTCACTCTCTTTCATACCAGTCCACTTCACAGGGTTGCTGTTGTGGGGAAAACAGGAGGAGGAAGATGTGTTGGATATGTTTACAGCCTTGAATTATTTGTAAAAATAATAGAGGGGGATGTAAACAAATATAAACCCATCTTTACATCCAGCACTAACCTGAAAGATATCCAGTCATCCCTTTATCAAGGTAATTAAATTTTTGCCTGTACTTCAATCTTGCAGCCTGAGGAACTGCCCAATCTGAAGATCCTGTCTTTGGTGAATTGCCAGTTAATGAGGTAGTAGAAGAAGAATTTGAACTGTAATACAAACCAGAGTCGATTAAAAAAAATCCTGTGATATTCAAAATTAACATTCTTCTTTTATTTTTCTGCAGATTACTATTTTTCTCAACCAATCTTCCCAAATACTGAGATTACACTTCAGGTGCAAAGATAATCAAAAGAAATGGTCTTATTGGGGAAAAAAGAAATTAAGTCTATCAATTGAGACTTAATATTTCAAGTCTGAAGATCCATACCTACTAGATCCTAAATCTATCAAGGACTGAGTTTTCTGGATGTTGGAACCACCAAATCCTCCTATCACGGGAGTGTATGAACTAGAATGAGGCAAAGCTGAAACAAGAGAAATGTTGAAATGGGTTAATAAGTAGTCGAGTCCTGGAAAGAAACATCATCATCTCTACTTGAAAAAAAGACTTATCCTTGTTCCTGAACCCTGACTCCCAGTACTGAGAAAGACAAAAGAGGTATCCAATCTTAGTAACTTTAAGACATGCCTGGCTGTAGAATTCTAGGAGTTGAAGTCCACGAGTTTTAAAGTTGCCAAGATTGGACAGCCTGATATATAAAAACAGTTTAATGTATGTTTAAGTGCATTTCTTTTAGGTACCTAGATTTGATTTTATGAAAACTTTTGAACTAGCTTTGAGAACCTCTCTGATTCCAATACCTATTAGCCAAACCTAATGCCTATTAGCCAAAACCTCCTCCCCTGAGGGAGGAACCTGGAAGGGGGTGGGATTCCGTAAGCAAAATAATCGGTCTTTTGAGGGGATAGGAGTTAGACTGGGAAATAAAATACTGTAAGTAATTTAAGTATCTGCAAAGCTAATCAAGCTGCCTCCCAGGTCAAAGCAACATGCTCGGAGAACAAACCACAACCAACATCAGGCTGTCAAAACTGAAAACTTTCTGGCATGAGGGTACTCACTGGAAAGGTAGGACATAGCTAATGGCTGAAGAAGGCCGGAGGTTCCATTTGGCAATGATGGAGGGCTGGCAGAAGGCAATAGTGGGGTTGAAATCACCATGGGAGAAATGGAGGGTACAGATGTCAGATTGGACATAGGAGCCAAAGGTGCTACTGTAGACAGATTTGGCATACTGCCCATACCTGGAGAAATTCAAGAGTCAATATAAATACACCAGTCCAAGACTATGAAATCCACCCCGCTCCCTGAGATTGATGGCTGGCCCTATTTGCATGTGTTTCCCTTTTGAAAATGATTTTTATGAAACTTGCTGTTGACAGAGAATTCAAAGGGCTAGACTAAATATTTCTTACTTTGATGGGATTTTTATGAACATGCCTTTAATATTAAACACTTAACGCATTGTAAGCCGCCCTGAGTCTCTGGAGAAGGGCGGCATATAAATCAAATTTAAAAAAAATTGTCTTAATAAATTACTATCCTTTTATATATTTGTATTCCACTAATGTGGACATTTGTATCTAGCACCAGGACAGATATTGTAAAAACTAGTTTTAGTTAGGCAGCTTACACTTGCACAAAGCATTATTTGATGTGTTCCACCAACCCCTTCTGGATGGGAAAATTACCATAAGTCCAAACACTGGAAAGCAGCAGAATGAAAATAATATAATTGCTTGTTTTTACCGTACCCAATGGCTATCAAAATAATCTTTAACTATATTTTCTTCATATAGTTTTAACAAATGTAATCCTTATACAAATTTGCAGAGAATTCTCCATCATTATCACCCATAACAGAGAAGGGGCCAATCTCTAGATATTTGTATGATTACCAAAACGAGCAGAAATCAAGGGAGAAAATGCTGGTGTCTGTTTCATGATTGGAGGAAGCACCATAGGCAAGGACTGGCCTTGCAGTTTTAGTTTGATGAGTTTCATAGCTATGGAGAACTCCAGCTGATCCATTTTCCCATCTTTATTCAGGTCACTAAGAGCCCTTTAAAACAAACAAAATGTATACAAATTGAGTGTATGTATATACATTCAATTGTTAGTGACAGTGGATCAATTACTCACACCTAACACAGCATGAAGTTTTTTCCACTATTTCTAACAATATCTGTTGCTGATCCCTTAATCTCCGAACAAGTCTCACAAGCCTATTTTTTTTAAGCAACCCTATTATGTAAAGCAGCCAGTGGGCAAGGGTGAGAATTCAGCACACTGAAAATCATGAATCCAAGGGCTGTATTTAGCCATAGTCACCAAGTGCTATAATTATGAAAAGGATATAAAAGTATATCCACATTCCTGACATCAAAACTCTCTTTACAAAGTATGTTTGGTAGAAAACTTACCAATCTGATAAACTCTTTGTCAATTAGCAACCATTCAGATGTGCTCTTTGTTAATAAACGTAAAAGAAGAAAATGTAAAAGAAAATCCTTCTTAAAGGATGCATTTTCCAATCAGATTCTCAAATTATTTTCAGAAATGATACTAATGATCCATTTTAAGAGTTCTGCCTTAATAGTAGAAATTTAAATTTAGTTGTAAATATGCCTTTTTAAAGATAATACTAATCCATTGAGGACCTGTATATTGCATGGGTTAGAAGGGGGGCTGAGAAAATATCTATAGACCCTTCACATCCTGGATATAAACTGTTTCAACTCCTCTCCTCAGGATGCTGCTGCAAGGCATTGCATGCCAAAACAACTAGACACAGAGATAGTTTTTCCCTTATGCCATCACTCAGCTGAAGACCTAAGTTCCACTGTTTTTAGGATATTTACCCATGTAATATGGCTTTAGTAGTATTATTATCCTCCTCATCTTTTCTACTACTCATATCATCATCATCATCATCATCATCATCATCATTATTATTATTATTATTATTATTATTATTATTATTATTATTATTATTATTATTATTATTGGTTAATCTTTAGTGAGATTCACAGCCTTTGAGGCTGGTTAATAGCTCAGCAGCTCGAGTCCTAACCAAGGACCTAGGAACTGTTAAGGTATTGTCGGAGGATGTAAGCTGTTCCGAGTAAGGTGGTTTTTTTGTAGAGTCAAAATGTTCAAGTCCGGCAAATTTAGAATTTCTAAATAGCGGGGTAGCCTTTTGGGTATTGCTCCAAGGGCTCCAATTACAATTGGGACAACACACGATTTCTTTTTCCACAGTCGCTCAACTTCAATTTGCAAGTCCCGGTACTTTGTGATTTTTTCTTGCTGCTTATCTTCAATCCGTGCATCACCAGGTATTGCAATGTCAATGAACCATACTTTTTTCTTTTCAACTATTGTTATGTCAGGTGTGTTGTGGACCAAGTGCCTGTCAGTCTGAATCCTAAAGTCCCACAAGATCTTGAGTTTCTTATTCTCTAAAACTTTCTCAACCTGATGTTCCCAGTGGTTTTTGCTGTACTCAAATCCAAACTTCTGGCACAATTTCCAGTGAATGATCTTAGCAACACAATCATGGCGTTATGATGATGATGATGTTTTGCATGTACACTGAGAGTTTATGCACTGAAGACAAATTCCTTGTGTGTCTAATCACATTTGGCCAAATAAACTTCTATTCTATTCTATTCTATTCTATTCTATTCTATTCTATTCTATTTCTATTCTATTCTATTCTATTCTATTCTAGTCTATTCTATCTATTCTATTCTATTCTATTCTATTCTATTCTATTCTATTCCATTCCATTCCATTCCATTCCATTCCATTCCATTCTTATTCTACGCTACGCTACGCTATGCTACACAAGTGCCTGGTGGCTCAGCAGACTGATAGCATTGTGATTAACACCAGCTGTCTGCAATTACTGTAAGTTCAAATCTCACCAGGCTCAAGGTTGACTCAGCCTTCCATCCTTTCTAAGGTAGGTAAATTGAAGACCCAGTTTGTGGGGGCAATAAGCTGACTTTGTATAAATATACAAAAGCATGAATTATTGCTTAATGCATTGTAAGCCGCCCTGGGTCTCCGGAGAAGGGCGGCATATAAATCAAATTTTTTTAAAAAAAGTATTTGAGAAAAATAATTGAGAACAATATTTAGATGAAGAATGAGTGAATTCAGGATATATTCCTAAATGCAATAGTGTGAAAGTAATGTCCACTGAACACAGAATTTACATTAATATGATTGCATGCTAAGGACACTTCCTAGTCTTTCATCTTCTAATCTTCCCAATTCCAGTATAAAATGCACCAAAGATTGATCCAGCCTGTCTGGATTCCCTATGAATTCAGACTCTGCCTTTCCTTCCTGGCAACTCTTCCAACTCATATATAGGTGGTCCTTGAGTTATGACCATTCATTCAATGACCCTGCCAAGTTCAGTGGTGCTGCACTTATATGGTACTTATGTGGTCATGTGATCAAAACTCAGGTGCTTGGCAGTTTGTCCAAACTTACAACCTCAGGAGCATTTAAACTCCCCTCACCTGCCTATTTTCACTCCCACCTCTGTCCTTTGGCCATCCTGCACAGCAGCAAACCTTGGCAGTGGCACTGGGACCTTTTGGCAAATGCCATGATTTTGGTTTCTGATAGTTGAGCCCTAGGTGGTCTTCTTTTCAATACTGTGCTAATGCTCTCAGTTTCTTTTAAGAGTAGTAGATATTCTTGAGAGTATTGCTGCATTGTCTGCATAGAATAAAATAGATGTGTCTCTAATGTGTATGGGAAGTTTGTGTTGAGGAAATGGCCCACCATGGAATTGATAGAAAAGTTGAGTAGAAATGGGGCCAATATTCAGCCTTGTTTTACGCCTTTTGGTTAACAGTGGCAACAGGGAGTGTCAGGATTGCCACTGCTAAGCAATGCAGTCATGTGATGTTGTGGTTTACAATTGCATTGCTCAGCAGTTTAGTAAAGCAAGAGGCTGTGGAGTTTTTATGAGGAAAGGGGTCAATTTTGGAGAGAGCATCAACAGTTTTGAAATAGAAATTTTCATATACAGAAACAATAAGGATCTATTTAAAAAATCATATAATTACAAGTTCCTGGTCATAACATTATTCAATGAGAGTAAGGAGGCTCATCTCATGCAATCATTGGAACAGCATCTTTCTACAGTAGGCCTGGAATCTCTTAATATAATGAATTCACATAGTGAGATGCTCACCATATTTCAGCCAAAACAGGACTTGACAAACCTGACTGTAAAAAAAACATTCGTGCTTGATCACCTGTTTGAAGAGAAGAAAGGGGACAGAAAAGGACATACTCTCAGTTGAATTCTGTCAAGATTCTAATGCACTTAGTTATGGGATAGGATATAAAAACTGTCTGGACTGAACAATTACAGTGTTATTATCAAAAGGCAATTCATAACCTTCATTTTCTTATTAGACTGAGTCTGATGTGTGTGTGTGTGTGAGAGAGAGAGGGGGGGACAGGGAGGGAGGGAGGGAGGGAGAGAGGGAGAGAGAGAGAGAAGGCAAAAGACTAAAATGAGAAGCATACTGGACTGGGTAGGAGCTCCAAAGCCTTTGAACAAAATAACCTTGAGGCTTGAGCCTTTTAGAAAAGATGCCAGTTTAGTTTGGAGAATCATAGTCAACCAGAGGGAGAGCATGGATAAGGGATCAAGAGGATGAGATGATTGTTATTCAATGGGCATTTCTCTTCAGCATTTGTAGGTGTCTGTTCCCTTATATAGAAAAAATAAATGTTCCCTGCTTGCTATCTGACCCAGAGACAGAATCTGCATAAATTAGAAGGATCATATACGCTTTCTTCCATTCCAGGAAAGTGTGTGGCTGCTCTGATACTTGACTCCACTTCCTAACTCTCTTCTCTTCTCTCTTTGAAAAATGATGGAAGAACTGAACTAACAGCAGAAAATGAAAATTGGAAACACCAAAGCCATACGGGGCAAATCTCCCATAAATCAGAAGCAGCTTAAGTTAAAGCTCCTTTGAGCCAGGTTTGGCTATTGGTGTCATTATAGATATGTCCTTGAAGTTTTCTTTAAAACACCATGGAAGTGAATTTCCACTGCTTCTTTCTCAGAAGTCCCTGCCCCCTAATTTTCTAGCCCATCTACAGCCCTGGGTTTCCCTAGTTTCCCTAGTGTTCCCATCCAAATGCTAATCAATTCCATCTTTAGCTTTTCTGAAATCAGGCAAGATTGGTGAGGTGGGACTATCTACTGTGATGCCTCCTAGAAGCAGATCTATTATCTTCTTGTGTAAAATTAGGACAGCTAAGAGTACCTCTAATTCAAAAAATATTGCTCATGTCATGTATTGTCTAATAAACTGTGACACAATCATTACATAAACACAAACATGTGTTCATTACTTCCAACTATAATTTTATATGTGGCTTATAGCACTATCATTTTTTGTGGTATTGACAGTTACAATAATTTTTTTCAACTAATATGAACTAAATCTTCAAATCATATAACAGAAAACCATCCATTGTAGAAGACCACACTAACCTGTAATATAACCCCCAACTGGCTTAAGGCTGTCAAACTGTTTATCATATTTCTTTCTTTCTTCAGAAGTGATGGCCCACATATTTGGGCCTCCTGAAAGACAAAAAGTAATACTTTTTTAAAATTATGTTCAATTGGGGAAAATAACTTTTGTTGTCTTTGTAATAATATTAAACCTAAAACTTTTATGACCCATCTTGCTCCTACCAATTTGACAGGAATGTGGTTTTTTTTTCTTGGCAGTCATCCATTCTTCCTTCAGTTTTTCACTTTATTATCTTGTTTTTAATATTTCAGATTGCTTTTTCACACATTTTTACAAACTCTCTCTTAGGAAATCAACACTGTCCAAATTCAAGATTTTGTAGAAAGCGAGATTTTTGTCTCTCCCTTCATCCCTTACACTAAAAAAAAATCACCACTGCTGTTCTTCTAAATGGCAGTCTAATTTGCATAGAATCTAATTTAATGCAACATTAAAACACCAGTTTCTTTATTTATTTAGATTCAGAACTATATTACTATTATAGATTTTGGAAATGGAGGGACAGAAGAAATGGAGCATAATCAATGTTTCTTTAAACACCCACTTTTTTCTAAAAAATATAGAACATTTAGAACTGGAGCATACAACTTCCTAAAACATTATTTGAAATATTTTAATTCATTGACATAAAATATAACCCTATTTTACAAATTGTAAGAATGCAACTTTATATTACTAATATTTCTTTTAACATTAAAGGAAGCTGCATCTAAAGCTAGCTGACATGGGTTTCCTGACTGAAGCAGGGGGGAAAAAAAGAGGAGCTGCAGAAAAATCACTAGAAAGGGTGAGGCCTTCTCTGGACCTTTGTTCCTCTATTCCCTGGATTGCAAACTGCTTAGCATTGATATGGCAATGCATTAAAACCAGCCAAAAGTTCTTCCCTTGTTGGTTTTCTCTTTTGAGGGCATGGAGTGTATTTAATGCACACTGGCCTTTGGGGAAGCTATGTTGGGGATGACAGGAGGACTACACCCACAACTGGGGAATGTTTGTTAGTGTACTTGAGGCTATTCCTTAGTGCAGCCAGGAGCAGGTAGGAAAGAAGGTTAAGTTCCACTTAGCTTCCTGCAGACTTGATAACTGAAGTGAGAGCTTGGCTGCCCCTTCAGAGAATGTTTCCAGTCTACCTGGTAGGACGTAAGGTTCCTGAGTTCTTTTTTACTGTTTTGATGGTGGGCTGAGAGGTTTATATGTGTGTATGAATACATTAACATCTTAATGTATTGTTTACTATTTACAGTTTTTTTCTTTTCTCTTATTTAAATTATATGAACAAATATTTTAACACTTCAATAGAGACCTTTTTCTTGACCAGAAACTGAATATGAAATGTCTATCAGGACTCTTAAGTTATTAACATTAGAATATGTTAGCCACATGGTATCTTCAATTTGCTGGTTAACTCCAATTGATTGGCTATCTACTTGTATTCTATTGCTTATATAGTCTTCCCTATAATATTTACTGCATTCTTATAAATATATATTTGTACCACCTTTATTTTTTCTTGAAATAATACCAGTATTAATATATATATTTTGCAATGCCTGTATGTTTTTCATGAGCATATCTGCATATTTGATCCTTCATACTTAGTGGATTTTACACACACACACACACACACACACACACACACACACACACACAGATATAGATAGGTATGCGCACATGGATACCATTATGAATAATTAATTTTTAAATATAAAAACCAAGAGCAAAGTGGTACATTTTAATGTGTAAATAACAAAATGACCAAATATAATGGTGTGTAAATAACAAAAGAACCAAAAGAACAAGCTTTTAAATGAAAAGCCCAATACTGACTAGCCAATTTATCAGTACATAAGATTCTTAAAAAGTATTACCTAGCAGAGTGAAAGAGCCTATTCAGTATTGGAAAAATAAATACTTTAAAGAAACTATTTACCATTTATGGTGGTAGGAAGCTGAGCCAACATAGTCTTGAACATAACTTACTAGTTCTTAGCCATCTGCAAGAAAACATCGTGAATAAAGTATTATTAATAACACAGAGGTACCAAAGGAAGCACATCTTTCTTTAAAGGGCAAGGAAAATCAATCTCCAGCTTCTACATCAGAGCTTCTGATCTATGTTGAGTACCCCCCAAAAAAGGGTTGGGAGAAAGTTTACATAGTATAACATGCAGCTGGAAACAATATTTTGTTAATTAACAATACTTTTAAAATTAAAAGTGATTCTAATTGTCAAGCAAATTCAAAATGATAATGAAGATGAACAGAACAATTGGCTTTTTTGCTATTGCTTTTTCCAGCATCTTTTTAAATTTCTCAATCTAGCATTCATAGATCTGGCATTACCTGCTGGTCTCTCATCCAAGTATTATCTTTGTTTAATTTTTTTGAGATCAGTCATGGTTATTAGATTCTGCCACTTGCTGTGGGTTGGGATAAGAAAAGAATACTCTTAGAAGAGAATCAATACATCTGCATACCAAAAATGGTAAAATCTCAATTAAAGGATCTCAAAGGAATGAAAAAGCTATGAAAAGGATGTGGGGGGGAAAGAAATTAAATACAATAAAGAAAAAGAATACAGGTAGTCCTCAACTTATTACTGTAATTGAGCCCTGAACTACAGTCCTAAATTGTTGTGGTCATTATATGCATCACCATGAGTTCAGACACAATTTTACAACATTTTGGGTGCTCATAAGCAATTGCAGCAGTTTTTAAGAAATGCTGTGGTTGTTAAGCAAATGCTGTGGTTGTCAAGCAAATCCATTTTACTCAATGGATGCTTTTTAATCAAAAACTGGAAATAAATTCTGGAAACGGTAAAAAAATGTCAAAAATCATGGTGATGTGACCGTAGGACGCTGAAAACAGCCATTAAGGTGAGTCAATTGCCAAGGGCCCAAAATGTGATCATGTGACTGAGAGGATGGTGCAACCATTGTAATTTTGAAATTTCATTGTAAGCAGCTTTTGGGTGTCCATCGTAACTTTGAACTGTTGCTAAGTACCTGTTCGTAGATCAAATAACTTTAGTTATTTACTAAATAACTTTAGTTAATTACTAGGATTGTAATTCCCAGAAAGATTTTCCATCAGATTCAGATAATGTGTACAGTTGCTATGTGGCTAGGGTAGGCCAAGAATTGGAGTAGTAATCAATATAAAGTGTGTTTTCCCCTTATTACACTAACACATCAGTAATTCCTGTGCACAGGTTGTAATACATAATGCAAGAACAGCCTTTCAGTAGATAGTCCCATCAGCGAAGTTGGCAGTGTAAATATGAAGCTACTGGCATATCTCAAGTTGATGAGGGTACTTCCCCCCTTTTTCCAAAAATCTGTATATGTGCAAAATACTGGAGTTAAGTGTAAAGCTTCAAGTTAAATGTAAGGTGGTTTTTTTACATTCTGGATATAAAAGTGACAGACATATGCTTTATTTAATACATTCTTCTCAATCCTAAACAAGTTAAAATATTAATCTGCTAGTAGAAAGAACAAAACTATTGAATCTGCCTATGCTGCTACTATCCAGGTATGATAAACATATTTGTGAGGAGATACATAGTAGATCAGGCATGTGCTAATTTTGTCAAAAGCTGACTTCTCAGAAGTCAATCAAGCTGTGGTCATTTAAGTTCTGAATAATTATTCTTTTTCTATTTTCTACCCACTGACATCATTGGCCTGACGTAATCAAAATAAGAGGCACCCTGGAACAATTTCTAAAGACCAGCAATTTATCATTCAGTGATCAACTTTGTCTGGACAAGCTTCTTAATCAAGTAAAAATTATTATCCCACGGTGTAAGAGCTCTCTGCCCACTCCTCGAATATTGGTGGTTTGAGCAAGCCAAAATTTCCATAAAGAACAATGTTCCTACTTTTTCCAGATAGTAGTTTTATCTTCTAATGTCTGAACCATGTCATGAACTTCCCTGTAATAGTTTTTGTTTATGTCATGCCCTCATGGTGTTGCCTTTGTATCATCATCAGTTGCACTTAGCTATTAAACTGATCCAATTTTAAAGTCCTATTTTAAACTTTCTCCAAATACAAGCTTTGCCCTGGCCATGCTCTTGCAGTAGAGAGCACCCAGACTAGTTAGATATGTGTGTGTGTCCAATTAAGCAGAGAAGAAAGTCTGGAGTATGATCTGAGGGGCTTTGGCTCTCTGTATATGCCCAAAGCTGGCTCACTGTCAGAACTCATTTCTGTTCTGGCTGGGTAAACCAACAAAGTTAGGGTTTTCTACAATGGCTGCTATAAAGAACAAATAGAACTCCAAAATACATATGGAACAGAAAAAAAAAAGAGTATCAGAGTCAAAAATAAAACCTAGATTGCAAGAATTATGCAACACTAAGTAAGTTCACATTTTTCATTAAAAAAATTAAAAATTAAAATTTATTTTGAATGTGAAGAGAGTTTGTTTCATAAACTTGTAATGTAAGTGGTGTTTTTATTTCTTGTTCAACCCTTACCCTAATGAAATAATTACTTCAGAGACATATGTGAAAAAAAGCAAAAAGAATGAAAGGTAGGAGAAAAAAAAGAGTTGAAACAAATAGAAAGGATTACCAAAAGTAATCCACATGATCAAGATTTAATCCTACTGAAAAAAAGGATTGGAAGATTCCATTGAAACAAAAATATTTAAAGCTTCCAGTGCAGTGAGTTATTTTTCCACAAATAGTGGAAAACTAGTAAAATTTAAATAGTTTGACTATGTATTAAATATATATTTGAATATAGTTATGGGAGCTGCCATGGGAGCCCCCTCAACTTGCTTGTACCTTTATTTGCCTTGAAAGAGGCGGTGGTGAGGCCGCTCCTCAAGAAACCTGCTTTGGACCCAACTATTTTAAACAACTTTCATCCTCTCTCCAACCTTCGCTTTGTTGCGAAGGTTGTTGAGAGCGTGGTGGCACGTTAACTCCCATTGGCCCTGGATGAAGCGGAGTACCTGGATCTGTACCAATTGGGTTTCAGGCCCGGGTACAGTACGGAGACGCATTGGTCACGCTGGTGGATGATCTCTGGAGGGCCCAAGATAGAGGTTACTCCTCTGTCCTGGTCCTATTAGATCTCTCGGTGGCTTTTGATACCATCGACCATGGTATCTTGCTGCGACGCCTCAAGGGGTTGGGAATGGGAGGCACTATTTTACGGTGGTTCTCCTCCTACCTCTCGGAACGTTCGCAGGTGGTGTTGACTGGGGGACAGAGGTCAGCCCCGAGGCCCCTCACTTGTGGGGTGCCCCAGGGGTCGGTCCTCTCTCCTCTTTTGTTCAACAACTATATGAAGCCGCTGGGTGAGATCAGCCGGGGTTTTAGGGTAAGGTATCATCAGTATGCTGATGATACCCAGTTTTTTTATATCCACCCCAAACCAACCCAGCGATGCCCTCGACATGATGTCCTGGTGCCTGGAAGCGTTACGGATCTGAATGGGGAGGAACAGACTTCGGCTCAATCCTGCTAAGACTGAGTGGTTGTGGGTACTGGCGTCTCGGTCCGATCAAGATATTCCATCTTTGGTCATAGGGGATGAGGTATTGCCCCCTGTAGACAGGGCACGCAACTTGGGTGTCCTCCTGGACTTGTGGCTAAACTTGGAAGATCATGTAACGGCCGTAACCAGGGGGGCATTCGCCCAGGTGCACCTGGTGCGCCAGTTGCGCCCCTATTTGGACCTAGATGCCCTACGCATGGTTACTCATGAGCTTGTCACCTCCCGTATTGACTACTGCAATGCCCTCTACATGGGGCTGCCCTTGAAGACCACTCGGAGGCTTCAGCTGGTGCAGAATGCGGCCGCGCAGGTTGTGATGGGAGTATCTCGATGCTCCCATGTTATACCTCTCCTACGCAACTTGCATTGGTTGATGGTTGCCCTCTGAGTGAGATTCAAGGTGCTGGTGATTACCTATAAGGCCCTATATGGCTTAGGCCTGGGATATTTGGGGGGCCATCTGCAGCCAGCAACAGCTTCCCATCACCCGGTGCGTTCCCACAGAGAGGGCCTCCTCAGGGTGCCGTCGGCCAGACAGTGTCGGTTGGCGACCCCCGGGGGAGAGCTTTCTCTGTGGGCGCACCTACCCTTTGGAATCAACTGCCCCTGGAGCTCCGGGTGGCCCCTGACCTCCGCTCTTTCTGTCGCGACCTGAAAACGTGACTGTTTCGTCTGGCTGGCCTGGACTGATGGGGTTTTAATTTTTAACTTGTTAGTCTTAATTGCACTTTTAACTGTTAAATTATGAGATTTGGATTTAATTTCTTTTTAACTTTTTCATTAGATGTTTTTTTACTGTTGTGAGCCACCCTGAGTCCGGCTGGAGATAGGGAGGCATATAAATCTCAACAACAACAACAACAACAACAACAACAACAACAACAACAACAACAACAATAACAATAATAATAATAATAATAATAATAATAATAATAATAATAATAATAATTTATTTTGATTTGTACTGGCACTGTTTTGCTGCAGTTTTTCTTCCTTCTCCACGGCTGGTTTTAGTCTGTGTTGAGAGGGAGATGTTGGGCCCTAGGCCTTTGCAATATGGGGTCCCCCGGGACTTGGATCTCTCTTGTCTCCTCTTTAACATTTACATAGAACAGCTGGATGAGGTCATTTGACAGTATGGGGTGTGGTATCATCAGTACATTGATGATACTAGTTATACATCTCCACCCCTGGTAGGGCAGATGAGGCTATTAGGAGGCTGTGAAAGTCCAGATAATGAGAAACCAACTTTGACTCAACCATGGCAAGACAGAGTGGCTTTGGGTTTTGGGCCTCCAGCATCTGGTGATTTGCCATGTCTGAGTCTGGATGGCATGGCATTCCCTCAGACAGAATTTGTGCACAAGTTCAGAGTCTACCTAAATTTACAGTTATTCCTCTATGAAGAGGTGGTAGCCATGGCTTAAGGGAAAGGGGGTGCTTTGCACTGATTCATCTTTTGGACCAACTGTGCCCTT